TTATTATTAAGGTTTAATAAAAATTTGAGTTTTAAAATATTTATAGTTCTAATTAATTGTGTCTAATAAAGTCTATTTTAGATTTTTTTGTGGTTAAATAAAATTAATATCGAGTTAATCATGACCCTTACCAGATATCAAGGTTCTATAACCTTGAACGTCCCCTTTATTTTGCGATGTGGATATAGTCAAATACCTCGACCTTTATGGCTTTGGTATTCCTCGGCTTTTATTTAAAAATCCAAATCAAATAGTAGATTATAATAACAAAAGCGGATATTTGGCAAAGACAATAATTGCTAATAATTAGTAATATACATGTATTTATATAAATAAATTTTGCCGAATGAATCGTTCTTATAATTATCATAATTTTCTTTGTTATTGTTTCGATTTTTGCCGGTTAGCCTAATTCCTGAGAGTTGATTGACAGGACTTCTTAATTTACGGTGATCTTTGTATCATTGTCGGTCACGGGTGAAAGGTTGGTAATGCCCGATATGAGGGAGGGCGTATTGTTGGACGTGACCGTTGTTGCTAAAAGAGACGGAGTCGTTTCTTCTCCAAAGAGTGAGGTTTCCTCATTCTATAGTAAGATCGATCCTCCTAAGAATTATCCGGTGAAGAGATCCATATGTTCTCTTGCTGCCATCCAGGTCTTTGAGGGCTCATCCGCCTGGTTTTCGTTTGTGTGGACTTATTTGATGTTCTGGGACACCGCGGTGAAATTGGCTAACTCAATTTTCCGGAGAACCTGCGTAATAACCATCTCAATAGTAGGGGATCTAGATCCTCCTTTCCTATACACATGGTAATCTACCGACGAGTCCGTGAAGATGAACGGCGGCTGGCTGTCCTTGTGCAGCGCCAATGGCTCCAGTGTCCACTGCCAGTACGTCTTTAGCGTTGATATGCTCAATGGCGTGTGATGGTATGTTGAACAGCAAGCAAGCTTCCTGGAAATACGGACAAGTTATCTATCCCCCAAAACGAGATGCCTATGTGCGAGCCACACGCGTCGGTGTATACCAGTTTAACCAGTATCTGAAGCCCCACTACTTTATATATAAATAACAGAATTAAAATGCTTTTTAAAAATGAATCTCATATTTAATAAAATAATATCTTCTAGATGGCGTCTTACATTTATTATTTAAATAATATTTATATGTGATTATAATTTTGCAGATGTCATTGTCATAGAAAAATAAATAGAAAGATACCCAAATTAACATGAATATTTTGATTTATAAAACTAAAGAATAATGTAAATTTATAAGATTATTGTTGCATGATGATTATAAGGTTATAACTTCAGTTTATGTCAATTGAGCATTAGGGTCAAAATATTATTCTTAGTCCTCCCTTTCTCCTCTTTATATTCAACAAACCTGTCTCAGCATAAGACTATTTCATCTCCATATTTTACAATTTTACTTCAAATTTAAGTTTCTATTATTTTCAAAAAGATGGTTAACCTTATATTGACTATAATTCAAGTTATTTTATAAATATTCCAAAGTTTAGTAAAATTTAAAAAAACAGATTATTATATTCCAAAGTTTAGTAAAATTTTAAAAAACGAATTTATGTAATAGTCATATTTGACAAACTAAAACATGGAATAACCTAGTTCTCATGCGACTAAACCTCAAATAATCAATTTATTAGAATAATCCTATCTAATATTATTGATATAAATCGCTAGATTTCTTAAGAGACACGCTTTTATGTACAGTCTTGGACAATTAATCCTCTCTTATGCCCATCTCTGATTTCAATTCTCGTCCCACCTTTCCTCCTTCAGTATGACGAAACCCACGTAACCTTCTTTTCAACCGCCTCTTCTTATTGATTTCATTACCCATGTTTTTTTTTAAATTTCCCAAGCATATATTTAAATATTTTGTTGTTGTTATCTCCTCAACCTTTTTCCTTGTCCTTTGTTGAGTCTAGCACTTGAGTCCCGTCCCTATATTAAGGCCGGGTTACCACACTAAAGGGCATTTTTGTTAGTCTTGTATACTTTTTAAAAAATTTCGCTCATAACTTTTTCTTTTCCCCAGGTTATTTTTGTCCTTCGTAAATCCCTGATGAATTTCGCCATTATTATGCAAGGCAAGATTTTTAATAACCTACTTCAAGATTGTCGCAATTTGCCAACATATAAATTAAATTTAAAATAGGAGTTTTTTCCTAAAACAATTAAATTTTTAATTAATGTTAATTATAAATAAATTAAATTAAAAGAGTCTTGATTTATACCATTTGAACATAACTTGAAATAAAGAGCTTATGATTGACTATGAAATATATACATTTAATTATTCTGGGATAAATTTGGTAATTCTTTTATATTTTGGGGAAAATTTCTAGGTTTTCAATATTGTTGTTACATGGCCATGATGCGAGGTCTGAAGTAGGCGGAGTTCACCTAATTTTAAGAGGTAAAAAAAACCATTTTTATATATCTTAGATTTTTTAAATAAAAATCAAATAAAAATTCGACACCGCAGTGTACAATTTTTTTAAAAAAATATTTTTTTCATTTTTTTTTTAATTTTAAGGATCATGATAGGAAAATTTTTTAATATAGGATATAATTTTTAGAATAAGGATTTTTAAGATAATTTTTATAGAAATTATTAAATTTTTATTTAAAAATAAAATTTTAAAAAATAAATATAAGAAAAGTCGGACTTTCCTATGGATTTGGAGTAAACGATTGTGAGTTGTTATGTTGAAGCAAGTCCTCTATAATTAATTCGGCTTGAGCCAATTAAAAAAAATAATAAAGTATATAATTAAATTCTGATTTCAAGGTAGTAAAAGAGAATTAGGCTTGGGGTAAATAATTCGGTGAAAGATTTATATAATATAAAGGATATATAAAGAAACCTATCATTTTTTCTTTAATTTTTAGGTTTTACACATGTATACACATTAACCAATACATTCGAGGTTTTTAATATGATATTTTCATATTTATGTATTTAACGCCCTCTTTTGGATATATATTTGTACTTTAAAATTAAAAAATAAAATTTGAGTTATGATAAGCTGGTAAATATTATATTTTGCCATTAACATTAAATAAAAACAGAATTATATTTAAAAAAATTTATATTATACCATCAAATTGCATAAATAATCTTGATAAAATCATTTTTATTAATATTATATCATACTTTACAATTAAAATATTATTAATATATATATTTAAATTTTACATTTTATAAAAATCACTAAAATAAACAAAGGAATTTATAATAATTAATAATGATTGACAATGGTAATTTTTGTCATTAATAAGTTATTTGATTCTCATATGACGTTAGATTAAATTAAGTATGATGTAAATATAGATAGCTACGATACACCCCCTTTTCACAGTCCACTTGATACATTCTAAAAATATTTTCATATATTTCACAAAATTCCATTTGGCCTTTATAGATGTATTCATAACATTAAAATTTACTCATATTGAGTCAGAGTTCATCTGCTACCATTAATTTTGCGTCAGAGTTTATCTGATACCATAATCCCATAAGTAAATCACTTTAAATTGTTCATTTAGTTTCATAGATCATGATTATTTGAAATTGTTCTTCTTGATTCATAATTCCTTGGCTACCATTATCCCAGACGAAAGTCATTTATTATTTTCCAACATTTATGATTTATATATTTTATAAAGGACTGATCATTCCGTAACTAGAAAAATGTTGATTACAGGTATTAAAAATACTTAATCAAGGGGATAACTTTTCCATAAAAGTATTATTTTCAAATAAGATAGTCGAAAATAATGTTAATATAAGCAATGGACAGGTGGAGGTAAAAAAATGAATTTGTGGCATAATCAGCGTCTACATGAGCGGGAGGGTTAGGAACAGTTTGCATCCTATTTTTTTGAGGGGGTAGGCTGCTTTAATGGAGGTAGGATAAATTTTTTGTTGTGTTATCTATTAAATTTTGAGATGAAATAGGACAAAATTTATTGCTGTAAAAATTAATACTTTTACTATAGAAATATTATAATACAATTATCGACCAAATCTATATATTGCAAACAATTATACACATTTTCCATATAAAACTTTCTGCTATTCTTTTTAATTTAAAAAGTTTAGATATATCAGTAAGCTCATAATGCCATAATAATTAATTCCTTGTAAATAATGGAGGTTTTAATTGAATTTATTATCTAAAAAATAAATTATTTATATTCACAAAATATCGATAGTTAGTGGTAGAGATAGATTAATTTAAGTTATCCTTATAAATTCTCTGAAAAGAGTGTTAATATAATTATAAAGGTGAAAATAATAAGAGACACCGCCGCCGAAGGTGGCGTGAATTATTTAGGGAGGTAGGCAAAGGTTTTTGAAGGGGGTTTGCATCCAGTGAAAATCCTGTCATGTAGACGCTGGGCATAATCACAATGTTAAAAATTTTTTAAATTTAAATGTATCACATCAATCATATATAAATAAATAATCATATTATACGTTTAAATTTGCTAAATATTTTATCTTTTTATTGTAAAATCATTTTTTATAAATATATATTTTTTTTACACAACAACACTTGCATATATATATTTAGTACTTTTGCTTCTGGAAATTATTTAAAAAAAAATAAATTATATACAATTTTGAATAATTATCATTAATTGTTAGTAATGCAATAAAAATTTTTTTGATTGACTAAAAATTATTATTATAAGTGGGTGGGCTTAGATCTGAGGGGAGGGGGTATCAACAGTTTCTTAAAGTTATTCATACTGAAATATTTTATATTTGAATTAAATTAAAACTAATTAAAATATTATTTGAGTGAAAGGATAGTATTCATATTTGGTTTTTATGAGTAGAACTGTTTAACATCAAAATAAATTTTTACTAATAAAAGTGCTCTTTCCATAGGAAAATCCCATCTAAGACACAAAAACATTGTTGATGATTGACATATATTATTTCTGTCACTTTCTATTAGGCACTGCATAAAATGGGAACTCACATGGCACAAAAAACTTGGGAAATCGAAAATAAAATTGAGTTGTTAAACAATGTTGATGAAATATATAAATATGACAAAAAACAACAACAAGATATTTTAGTTGCCAAGCCTTGGGAGAAAGAGTTTGTTATATAATATTTATATTATTTAACTTAAATGTAGCCCACATTATTTTAAAGATATTAAAATATCTGCTTTATCGTTATTAAAGATGGTTATGCATGCAAGATCAGGTGGATCTATTGAAGTTTATAAGATTTATTGTCTTAAAATTTACATAAGTTATCTTTAGATAATGGGATTAATGCAGGGCAAAGTAGATGGTTACACAATGATAGTAATGGATAGCTTTGCATTACCAGTTGAAGGAACTGAAACACGAGTTAATGCACAAGCTCAAGCTTATGAATATATGGCAGCATATAATGAAAGCTCTAAGCAAGTTATATTAAATATTATTTTATATGAATTTTCTAACATTTGTGGATTATCCTACAAATAAAAAAAATTTTAAATCTCAAATTTAACTGAAAACTTTAAGACTATAAATAAATATATATTATTGCTCAACAAATTTTATATTAAAAAGTATATTTTTTAAATTTTAGGTAGGGAGATTGGAAAATGTAATAGGTTGGTATCATAGTCACCCAGGGTATGGATGCTGGTTAAGTGGTATTGATGTTTCAACCCAAATGCTAAATCAACAGTTCCAAGAACCCTTTGTAGCTATTGTTGTAAGTTGTACTAATTATGATATTTGTAATTTTTAAAACGATATATAATTTATGTAAAGTCGTTATAATGTAAAATGGAATCTTTATTTTATATTCAGCAGAAACAAGGACTCATACAACCCATATTAATATAATTTTTCTGGAGGAAAAGTTAAATAGGTTGGAATATTTTGCTGCAACTCAGTATGAGTCTGGCCCTATAAATTAAAAAAAAATTGATTGGGTACAGGCTTTATCACAGATCTATAGGCTCTAAACTGGAACCAGCCTGATATATGGCAAAAAAGAATTTAACAAATCTGGACTGGGCTTATTTAAAAAGATTAAAAATCTTATGCACCATTTATTATTTTTTTTAAAAATAAAATTGCATCAATTGATCAGTGGGAAAATATTGAAAAATCTTATAGAAAATTTAATATTCTTTTACAGCTAATATTGATTTCTTTTTGAAACAATTTGCAAAATACAACCTATATTTTGACCATGCTAATATTAAAATGGCTTGATTATAATTGTGTAACCTCAGAATTGGCTCAAGATAAGCAGTAATATTGCATTATCATTTTGGAAAAACTTTAAAATAAGTTTGACAACAAAAATATTTAAAATAGATGTTTGTTAGTGTCGTTAAATGAAATTAGCCTATGTTTTGGATAGTTTTTTATAACAATTTTTTGTCAATCCAATCATGAACAAATTTTTGATTAGCCGATTCTAACAAGTGCTGTTAAACTGATCAATTTTAAAAAATGGCCCACTTAATATTTTCGCCAAAAAATATAATGCAAGCCTGGGGATTTTACTCATGCAGGAAGGTTTGAACATTTATTAACGAAATCTTGAGGTGAGCATAATATTATTTTGTCTAAAATCTTAATTTAAAATTGGCTAAATCGAGCTATTTAACCACTATTTCTAACCCTCCTTATAATAATCTTGTTTTTTAACTAGTTTTGATGTTATATTGATTTTTCTATTTATATTATTAAAAATTAGTTGCCAATTCTGAGATACACACATTTTACAAACTAAAAACCGGCCCATCCCTTCGCCAAAATTTTTTAAAATAACGAAATTTTTATAAATTCTGAGCTGGGCTGTGAAATTATAAAAAATCAAAATTCGGCCAGCACATATAAATCTCCAAGAATTAGGGCTGTGCCGATATTAAATATCAGATCGGGGTCGATATTTAGCGTTTTTAAAAATATTGGATAGGGTCTATATTGGCTAAATAGAAGTCTTAGGACATTGTATTTAACTATAAACATTGCACATATTTAAAACGAAATTATTAACTTTTGGAGAATAAAAAAACAAATTACATTTAATCATTCATGAAAGTTAGTTTATATATATCGGAGGTTTTATAGTAATATTGAAGTAATATTTGTTCGAAAAATTTGTGGATGGACACAGCCCTCCCAAAAAAATATTCAAAGCTGGGCATTGGAATTGAAAATTTTTTTCAAATCCAGGCCACCTAAAATTTGGATATCTGTAGGTCGGATAAATATTTTTTAAAAAAGATGTTTTCGTTTCTTTTATTAAATCAAAAGCATATACCTGCTCTGGAAAAATGCCCCTATACTTGGCCCAACACAGACCGAAAAATGGCATGATTTAAAAATCATAGCTGGGCCATGCTTAAATTTTTGTCGGGCTAAAATTTTGCCCGATTCGAAAAGTATAGATAATATTTGATGTCATTAGATAGCCATTAACTTCCTTTATTTAATATAACTCAAAAAAATAGCAGCGTTTTATCAACCTAGAGTAACCCTGCATTCACGGAGCGAATTCGCAGCTATTTCGCGCTAACTATGAATGAGAGGTAGTGGTAATTTTTTTAGTACTGATGACTCGTTCTAAATTTTCGAAAGTTTGAAGATATGTTTATTAGAGTAAAAATCGTTACCGTGCTTTCACAATTAGCGCGAATTCGCGGCTAAGTATACAAAATACATAGAAATATAATAATTTTGCATTCATTTATGTATACTTCTTCGCGAATTCATGACAACTTGAATGCAGGGTTAGGGGTTATTATTCGTTTTAAACTTATTTTATTTTTTTTAAAATATTTTATACGATAAAATAGTTTTTATAAAAATAATCCATAAATTTATTTTATTAGAATTTAAATGTTGATCTGACATCGTTCCCAAGATTTAGACTCAGTTCTCCCGGAAATTTAAAAAAAAATATTTTCCAGATTATTTTAAATTTTATTTTTTATCTACGCAGTTTAACTATAATTATATTATTCGGCCCACCCAGATTCATAAAATTTTTGTCATTTAAAAAAAAGATTTGTTACATTTTTTGATAATTTAACCAGAAGATATTTTTAAAGGAAAATTATTGATACGCGAATAGTATTGTTATACGGCTCGATTTGAGGCGATTTTTAAAAGCGGCTAACTCGATATTTTATTCATAAAAATATTACGCGAGCCTGAAGATTTTTCTCATAGATGGCAGGACATTTATTAGCGAAATTTCTAAACTTAGGCAATATTTTTCTATCTAAAATATTGAGTTAGCCCTTTTTCTTGAAAATCCTCAAATCTAACCGTTTAACAACACTAGATACCAGAAGCGGTTTAAAATGATAAATTGTATCATTATTTCAACAAATTTATAAAAAAATTGAGATTTTTTTTTAAAAAAAATGCTTGCCCAAATTTTTAAAATCATGATTTTACAATCTAGCTTGATGACCTTCCTTGGTCAAAAATATAAGATTTGAAAAATTTCAACCGAAAAATATAATCTTTTATTTTCGGACCAGGCTGGGCCTGAATGTTTGGGACGCTGAATGTCACTGATATTTAAATTCTAATAAAATTGATTTATTTATTAATTTTTTGCATGGCGCTATCTAGGCTACACTATTTTATCGGAAAACAATTCGAAAAAAAAATAAATTAAATGACTAAAGAATTTTTATTACAACGATATTTTTATTATATGTTTATTTTACTTTAAAGAAGAACATATATACAAAAATTTCGGGAATTTTGAACGCGTCACTAGTATTAAAAGGAATGGAGAGGTTATAAAACACCCGTAATTTTTTTCTATTTTTTAAAGTTTTAATTATTAGAATATTTAATACCTAATCATTGTGGGGAAAAAAAATCATTTTTGAAAGATATCGCGAAAACTATTGATTTCACATGGAATGACCCTAATCGAAATTGAGGAATTAAAGATTTTTATTAAACTTTTATAAAAATAACAAAAATGGTGGATGGATCGTTAAACGTCAATTAATCGCCCTACCATTTAACTTTGTAATTATAAAAATTTTCACGTAATGTCATCTTCAAAAGATTAAACCTAAAATTATTTCTAAAACTATTCAGATAGATCCTGTGAGGACTATAACAGCTGGCAAAGTAAATATTGGGGCATTTAGGACCTATCCAAAGGGTTACAAAGCTCCTAATGAAAGTCCGTCAGAGTATCAGACCATTCCACTTAACAAGATAGAAGATTTCGGTGTCCACTGCAAATCGTAATGATAAAGATATCTTTTTTTAAGAATTTTACTATAAAGATAAATATTTTCTTTTTATTCCATTTTATGCTTTTTCTTAAAATATCTACTATAATTATGAGTCATTTTGGCATGGTCTTATTTTTTTAAAAAAAATATTCAATTGTAATATGAAAGATAAATATGTATTATATTAAAAAATTTGTGATTTTAAACAAGGTATTATTCTTTGGACATTACTTATTTTAAATCGAATCTCGATACTCGTTTGCTGGAATCATTGTGGAATAAATATTGGATTAACACTCTCACAAGTTCAAATCTACTTAAAGTTTAAATTAAATATAATATATATTTTTTTAAAATTTATATTATTATCATTTTATATAGATATATCTTAAAATTAACATTTCGATATTATAAACTTAATATCTACCTTAATGTAATTGATGTTAAATTCCAAAGTTTATTATTAAAAGTTAATTGCAGTAATTATAAAGAATTAGGAAGTTAGAGATTTTTAAATTATTTTGCTAAATTATTTAATTTTTTGTTAATTTATTGAATACACCGATATATAATAAACAGAAATGCGCTGATATCACCTTTTTTTTTTATTTAAAAAAAATATGATTGCTGGCGGCGGCTTATCAAAATTTCATGCTGGCATGAAAATTGGTGGCTCGGAATATTTTATTAATTTTAAATCAACCTTTTAAAATATACTAATTTGCATTTGTAATTAATATTATACTATGCCATCGATTCAATTCAGTAATTATCACGTACAAAAATTTAAAAATTTGAGCATAATGAAAATCGAAGTTCAAAGTGAACCCAGCTATAATACCGCAGGATATATATCTATTCAAAAATTCATATCGGTATTTGACGATAAAATAATGAAAAAATTCTTTTTTTAGACTTTAATTGCACAAAATTCTGTTGATTAATTATAATATCTTAAGATTGTTAAGTCACCTTGGCGCTTTCATAACCACCTGGATTGTCTATGTAAAGCAGCAGAGGGGCATCATGTTGGTATATAAATTGTTATATGGTTTATATTTTTCTTTAAGTAATTTATTATGTGTATCGATTGAAAGCTAAGGGCCAAAAATTCCCCTAATATTTAAAATAATAGCGGAAGTGTGGGTATTGATAATCTATGATTAAATTTATTATGTCTATTTTGTTTTAGGGATACTATTGTAGAGTTATAATATTTAAGTTTGTATAGGGGAGACGGGGATTTATTGTCTATTAAAATCGAGAAGCTGTGAAAAAGAGAAGTAACTTATCAATATAATTTAAACCTTGTTTTACTATCTTATGAATTATAGAGAATTTTGTTGTTAACTGTTGAGTCATTTATAATTTATATAAAAAATTTTGGAAAATTTAATATAAATTTTATTAATTTCTAAAGTTCATGGCAAAATTGTCTGAAATCTATAGGGCAGGTATTCCAAACATGATGGAATACATTTGTGGTAAAATCAGATTTATAAATTTAAAAATACTGTTCAAAATATGATTTATAGCTGAAAAAATAGACGCTAACTATGCTAGAAATTAATATTTAAGAAAAAAATATTATAAATTTTTTATAATCTAAGTTTCAAAAAAATGAAAAATTTGTGAAAAAGATATGGGGGACGTATTATCCTTTTGTGGGGCATGTTTCATGTTTTAGCCTATCATTTTCTATGCTTTTCATACAAAAAACACAACAAATAAATATTAATATACAATTATGATTCAATACATATTTAATCACATTTATTACAAATATAAAAGTGATTAAAATCGCAACAAGATCCATGTGCTCATAAATTACAATCTCGGCATTGGAACAATCTTCATTCTGATGGTGTACTTGATAATTTTTGCCGCATATTAAGCAACATTCTTTTTTCCTAGCGATATTCATATTTAAGGTTTTTTTTGCTTTTCTATTTTTGACTTGTATGGTTTTTTCCCAATTAGTAGCCTTAGCTCTGCCCATTTTTTTTATATGGAGATGACGTTAAAATGGGTGATTTCATTTGATTATAAGGGGTTTTTAAAATATTATGGGATGGAGAATAATATTATCTGGAGTAAAATCGATTTCCATCTGAGAATGAGTTTGGAGCTGGACTATCATTGAAAGATGGTTGTGAAGTAATTTTAGATAAATTTAGTTGAATCTCATTAGGATATTTATTATTAAAATATAATGGATTCGAATTTTCGTCAGTAAAAATCAAAGGATTTAGGGGTCAAATACCGAGGATTTAAAACCCTTCTTAATATTTGAAGCAGAGATGGCTTTTGGAAGAATCTCATTTACCACTCCAGGGATATCATAAATAGTAAAACTTTTTCCTTGGTGCATTCTCATCCTTGCCTTAAGTCTATCTTGGGAATTTTTTAAGAATCCAAAAACGGTTCTATCCAATGGTTGGATAGAATTTTTTCTAGGATATATAAACAGGAATATAATTTTCTAATGCATTAACAGCCATTGCCAAGGTCATGAGTGTACCGCGTTCTGATGTAGTAATTGCCCCAACATGTTTCTCGCCTCCCTGCCATAAAATTAGGTCGTTGAACTGTTGTTCAACAAATATATATCTAATTTACCAGTTTCTTGCTGTAAATGTCTTAGGAAATTCTATTCCACCTATGTTTATATATCCCAGGAAAAAAAATTCTATTATCATTATTCAAGAGATGGCCCTGTAGGATGTATTGGCGTGTCCATTGGTTCTGGAAGGATGCTGGCTGAAGATTTTATACATTTTATAGAATATGCTAAGCCCAGTCTTAAAAGTTTTACTTATTCTAGATAATCAAACTCATCAATGTATACTATTAATATGGAAGGTAGTGATCTGCAAGGTCTGACCCCCTCCCTCGTCTTAGTTCCGAATTTACTTTGGTCTTTAATAAACCCAAATTTTGAAAATAATTGGTTCGGCCTGATATTTCAGGCCGGGTCTAATGATATTTAGGCCCGATGCAGATCTCTGATTGAAGGCATCGATATCAGGGCATCTCTGTTTAATTATGTGTAATACGATAGAATGGCTATATTTATTTTATTTTTTTTTAAAAAAAGGACAAGCAAGAGGAATATATAACGGGTCAGATCCGGGACCTAACAGATAAATTAGAACAATGCCAAAATAACGCTAATAGATTAGGCATGCCTGCCGGTAGCTCATCGTCTCTCACTTCGACTGGCAACACTGCCGATGCCATGAAGTTCCAAGAAAAGCTCTCTAAAGTGACCAAAGATGGGTAAAATTTAAGTTTAAAAAAGTATGTAATATGGCTTATCAGTAGGGTTCTGCATCGCCTTGTGCTCCTGACATAAATTCCCTGCCGCCTAATTAATTGGTGGCGCATTTTAATAAATTAAATTGATTTGTAATTTAATGTAGACAATATCTGATCACTCTTAGTTTCATCATTGTTAGAGTTCTTATATCTACTCCTTCTTCAACCTTATGTAAGTTTATCCCCGAAAAAAGATTTATGATAAAATATTTTTAAAAAATCCTTCTTTTTTTAAAAAAACTCAGCTACACGTCAATAATATGTGACTGATTTATTCATATAATATTAAAACAAATTTAATATAAACACTATCTATAATATTATCATATAAATTTCGATGCAAATAGAATATTTATATGAAAAAATATAAATTAATTAAAAATGAAATTTAGCTAAATTATAATTTAAATACGACTTTTTCAAGATTGATTAGAAGTATTAATCCAGTGATAGAAAAGATTCCTTCGGTTGCAGGTACTCAATGAACTCTTAGATTAAATTAGTTAGTTTCTGGAGTTACAGTCGCATTTTTTTCCTCAAAGAATAGTGCATATTGGTTTGGTACAGTATGCCGATAAGTAAAGATTGTCAATGCTATTCGATTCTTTATCTACTGTTGATGTTTGAGCCTTACCTACAATTTGAATCTCCTTTTCTGCATTTCGATCATTGTTCAATTAGATTTTAGGGCCGTGTCCTGGGACAACTTAATTGAGATACTTAATTGTCTTTTAGCCTAGGCTAAAAAGCTTTTGAACTCGGACACCCTATTTTTGGTTTTTTATAAGTATTTGGTATTGTTATTTTTCGTATTTTATCCTCGTTTTTTTTGTTTTATTGGTTATATTTTATTGTTTTTTCTTTTATAAAATTTTTTTTTGCTTGTTTGGCTGTCCAAATAGCCGGCTATTTAGTAATAAGTCTACCTAGGACACAGTCTAGATACTTAAATTAAAAATATAAGTGGTGTAAAAATTTGCAACAAAATATTCGGAATTCAGATTTTTTGAAATCTTGGATAAAATAAAAAAATAAATTATGTTTATCAGATTCTTCATCTTTTATAAAATGTATGGGTGCGATGTTATTTCATAGTTATAAAACATAGTGTTTTAATCTGTTTGAGTTCATTAAAATTATTTTAAGAATGAATTATTGGAATACATCAATAAAATTCATATTTAATTTTTATTAATTTGCTCTTTTAATATATCATAAATTTAATGTAATAATATATTTCATAATAATTAAAAATCATTTTTTGGACAATTTTCCACACTGCGTCGCCACCATATTATAAATCAACGGGGAACCTCCCAGCGGTGGTTCTACTTATTCTCAATCTTTTCGATTTGGCAAAAATTGCCGGCGGTGCGCAGATTTTAGCTGTGCGTATATTAAATTTCGAATCAATGACCATATTATAATTATTTTTTTGATCTATTTATGATTGAATTGTATCTATAATTGATGTGAGAATTCATATAAAAGTTAGATTGAAAGAATCAAAGAATGTCGATTAGATTATCTAAGGTTATCGATTAAAAAGATAAGAAGGAATGTCACGATCCGGTCTTTAGTCCAGACCGGATTCACCCAGAAAAGATGGGTCCCTATTTAAGACCGATGGGACCGGACTGTTGACTTTCACTAATTAAGAGTTGAAGCTTTGCAAATTTAATTTTTTTGGTCCGTTTTCCTAATTTGATTTATTAAAAAAATTTAAAGGTTTAATTAAAATTTTAAAAAATCACTAATTGCATTGTAATACTCTCAGAGAGATTCCGATGTTTTATTTATTTTATTTTTTTTATAAAAGAAGAGAAGAGCAGCTTATAGTGTTTTTGAGTAGCGGGTGTCCAATGTTTTAAATCAAAATTTTACATTTCTTTACGAACTTGAAATATAATAAAATTTCTTTGTGTCATCTTAATTTTAATGATTATATCAATTAAAATATTTATTTAATATATTGAGTTGCTTTATTCTGATATTTATATTTCACGAATTATGTTCCTTTGTTAAGCATAATTGGGTAATTACTAAATTTCATCGGGCATAATTTTTTTAAGCCCGGCCCAAAATTTTTAAAAAAATTTGTCCTCCCCCATCCTGAGCGAATTTTATTTGTGCCGAAAAGCCCTACCTAAAATTAAAATTGTTTGTTCGTCTCGTCCTAATTTTAATTATAAAAAATAAAAAATATTCTACAAAAAAAAATTAAGAATATTAAAATATCTCAATTTATTTCAATAAATTGAATGATGTCATTAAAAAGTTAAGCCCTGTCTGATTCCCCCGAATCGAAATTATTTTTAAAAAATAGGGCCTGGGCCGAGATTTGAAGATCCCCAGTTCAAAGTTTTTCAACATCTATATTTGTTTTAAAAGCTCGTTCCGAAATAAAAATTATTTGCCGTATTTATTTAATATAAAAAAATTTTTTTTTTTTTTATTGTAAAAGAAATATTTTACAAATAAAAAATATTCGCGCCTTGTTTCTTTCAAGAATTTTAAAATTTACCTATTTATTTGACAAAATGTAATGATATAATATTTAAACCTGACCCGCCCCGAAATTTTTTAAAAAATATTAGGCCTGACCCTACCCAACCCGAACCGAAATTATCCGGGCCTGGCCATGATTTGTCAGATCTCTAATGTATATTTGTATAAAATGCAAAATATTATTATTTGATTTTGATTCTTGGGTAATTAACGAAACATTTTAAGTTTTTGAAAAATAACTTATTTGCTATAAGAATCAAAATAAATGTTAAAATATTTGTGTTGTATTATCTTTCTTTGATATTATTCAAAAAAAATTTTTTCCTGGTTTCAAGCTTGAGGCTTATTGTTTATAGATAATGGTTAACCGGCAATCACAAATAAATTTTTATATTAAGAAGATTAAAATTATTTACAAGGAAAATAACACCAATTTATAAATTAGTTAACCTAATATATTTTTTAAAAATGTATATTTAATATGCATTTGTACTAGGAATAACACCTCATAATTATGGCACTAGGAAAACCTTTTTTCTTTTCTTCCGGGCATCGGATCAGCTTTCGGGGATTAACTAAGGTGGATAAGAATTTTTATGCGAGGGTAATTTTATTTTAAAAATTTTATGAAAACATGTTAACGATTTAAATTTTTTTAAATTGAAATAGCTGCAAGTCTGTCACCGAAACCATACTAGCCCTCACTTCCCTTATTATTAAAGACAAACTCTTCAACGTAGACTTGAATGCCATCGATCAAAATTCGCAGCTACCATTGAGTGAAATAGATTCTATCGATTGCGTCGATGCCGCAATTGCAAATTAATTTTGATATAATTTTTGTAAAAATCTCCAAATGTATATATTCAAATTTGTTTCCAGATTATATTTATCTCTTATGTCCCCATTTGTGTTTATCGATTATATAACTTTAATATATAAATAAATGGATTAATTTATCAATTTTTTTTCCAGATTTAATTTATTTCTTATGTCGCATTTGTGTTATTTGATTAAAACTATAACTTTAATATGTAAATAAATAGATAAATTTGAGTTAAGTCTCGTATAAGTCGGTTGGTTAGTCTTTTTAAAATATCGTTCGTCGATGAAAGATATTGGTTCATTATATGGTGGGAGCTTGATCCATTAAAAGTAGTAAATGGGAGGAATTTAGGGTTTCACTAGAGGTCTAAAATGAGCGGGTTTAAAACTGAACTCTTACCCGCCCATAACTCTTTTTAAAATACCCGCCTGCCCTATACCTAAAAATTTTGTTTTACCCTCCCCTAAATCTTTAAATGTTTATTTTAGCTATTTATTAATATATTTTTATACTTAAAATTTATAAAATATATTATGAAATAAAAAAATGATTTATTAATATAAATAGAAGTCTATTCGGCTCATTGCGCAAGAAAAAAAAATCAAATTCACCTACCAATTACTGCAAATCTTGTCATTTAGATGTGAATGGAATATATTATAATGATTGGTAAGAGGAAATGTTGTTCTTTTTTCCTTTGTATTTTATAATGCTCTTGATTATCGCAAGTAGTCTTTTGAATACCTATACTGTAGTCATATTCTTTTGGGACTCTTCTTTTGAATGATTCTTTTTATTAACTTGACTATCAAGGTCAACTATTTTATAAGAGTCAATTTATCTATTAATTATGACATATTTAGGTAATAATTTATATTAAAAAAATTTATAAAATATATTTGTGGTAAAAAAATATATTAATTTTCGCATAAAATTTGGAAAATTAAGAAAATAAACAACTGTTATTCGAATTGAATAACTAAATATTTATTCAATCAAAACGAATAATTTACTATTTGTATTCGACGTTTATGAATAGGGCTAGTTAAAGGTATATTTTATATTCAAATAAACACTACAATTAAACGGCTATTTTTTAAAGTTATAAAATTATTTTGGTGATATTTTGTTACACTTTAGAAACATCATTATTTTTTATTATAATGATATATTTTGGTTATAGTCTTTTCCATCAATTCAGTAAATAAAAGAGAAAATAGAATTACTATTAGATATTTATATATTGAATAACTTTTAAATTGGGTAAAACAAAAAATGGATGAGAATAAATAAATTTAGGCGAAGAAGTCGTCGCCACATTTTTTAAATTTTTTTTGGCCGCCATTGCTTTAATTTATTTTACATTAATTGTGGATATGGAAAAAAAACCTAACCTAGTTACGATAAAGCTGTACTAATAGATAATTTAATTTATTTCCCAGTTTCCTCTATCAAGCTTACATCGCGAATTCTTCAAAAATATCAAAATTAATAATCTCCTGACAACCTTTCAGATATTGTCATCAATATGGTCAGCAGGGATCCCCAGAAACAGGCTATTTCCATCTTTTCCGATCAAAAATTATTTTGTTCTCTCTTTATCGCAAAACTATTCTTTGTCTCATTTCTCTTGGTTTAATAATGTCCATCATTAGCATATAAATCTTAAAATGGTATCATATTAATTATAAATTATGGTTGCGAAAAAATTTTATATAAAATACTCGTGTTTGTATTATTTTAAACAAATATAAAAAGTCTTTACTTTTTATGAAGTTCGCACCCTAGAAATTAATTATGGTTAATGGGTTTATAACTAAACTAGAACTCTGTTTTGTTTTTAAAAAAAAATCACTGCAATACTCTAGATTACCCTGCATTTACAGTCAGCGAGAATTAGAGACGAAGAATACAAAATACAATATAAATGTAATAATTTTACATGAATTTTTGTTACTTCCCCACCAATTCGCGCTAACTGTGAATTTAGGATTAGAGGTCTAAATGATGAAAAATTTACAAACCTGTTTATTTATCTAAAAATGTTGTTTCATCTGGCCTTGTTTATCCCGCCTCTTTATTTATTTTAATATCTATATTTAAACTTAATAAATTTTAATATATTTTTAGTTGAATTTAATAAAATTTTAAAATATTTTTAGATTAAATTTATAAAATATATACAATTTTTTTAAAATGAAATATTAATGTAAGCTCATTTTGCCAAAAAAATATTCCACATTCATTCGCGTGCTCATTGTTTAATTATCCCGCCCGCCAAATTTTTAAAATTTTTAACACCAGTTGCAGACTTCGACTCTACCCCTACATATTTGAAAAGTATAAGATAATTATGGGGTTAACATTTTCTCGAAATATAAACTTAATTTCTCAAGGAACTCATTATTTTAAAAAAAACAGATCATTTTGATCATAAACAAGCACAACCTATGTTTTTTAAGATAATTATGAAATAAATATTTAATGTTTTCTTATAAAACGTGTGACATTTCGAAATGAAGTCAGAATAGCTTTTAAGAAAATTACTTATTTTTTTAAATTGAAAGAAAATTAATATGTCATGTCATAATATTAAATCACAATGGTATCTATCTTATCTATCATTTATTTATAAGGTGATAAATAAGTTATAGTTTTAATGTTAACTAAAAAAAAGAGGATGATTTAATGATTTTTAGTTTGAAAAACATTGTTTAACATGAATGGCATATTTAAATAGGGAAAACTTGTTAAATATTATACTCAAATATAATATAATTCTGAAAAAAATAAATAATTAAACATGCAGTTTTGTACCAAATTAAATCTACGAAATTTTTGAACGCAGGAAATATCTTATTTACTTAATTCAGGTAGTAATTTAATTTGTCATAACAACTGTAAGAAAGTAATTGAATTCAGGCGTAGCGAGGAATTTTCTACGGGTGAGGGGTATTTCTTTTATATTGTAATGATTTTTTTTTAAAGCAAGAAAAATTTATTAAAACTAATCCTCATATAAAATTTATTAGAACCAATCATATTTGAAAATATGATAATTTCGAACACAAATAATAAAATATTGAAAAATACATATTAAGAGCGAATATAATAAGGTTCAAAAATATTATAGCTATATAAACCGGTATTTAAATCACAATAAAATATAAAATTAAACATTTTTATAATGATTTAAAAAGTTAAAATATTGTTCATAAATGAAAATTTAAAATTCTTTGCGATTGCGTCAATTTTTTAATAATTTGTTTGGTGTTGGAGATTAGATCTCGATGAGTAAAGCTAGTCTATTCAATCAATTTTAAGATGTCATACTTTTGATATAAGTTTTTATTCTCTTTAATGAATAAAAAATCCTCCCATTTGTGCTTCTACTAATTGGTATCATTGCTAAAATATACAGTAATTTTAATATATTTGTAAAATTTATAAAATATATTCTAAAGGAAGCAATTCTCTGTATTTCTTGGAGGATTATCTACAAAAATGAATCTTTCATGCCATTTAAATTCTGAAATTAATTGGCCTTCAGATATATTTATCTCTCAATAAAATTTATCTAAATATTTAATTTTTCAATATCAAGATTTGATATATCCTCAAACCAGAGGGAGTTATGATTTTAGTTTTTGTAAATTGGGAAAATTTTCGTGAGATAAAATATTGATATACAAGAAATATTTTGAATGTAAAAATAAAATAGGAGCCTAAATTATTTTATAGAATTTATTAATCAATAAAATTTAATAAATTTTAGCTTAAAGTTTATAAAGTTGTGAAACTTTTACGAAAAAAAAAGAAGCAATTATTTTATATTATTAAAATTTTAATAAGAAATGAAGTATATAAAAATAATTTGGTAGGAATCATAAATTACAAAATTTATAAAACTTTAAAAAAATTTAATGAAAGATTTCGGACATGTTTAATAATTTTATAAAGGTACGAAAGTTTTAAAATTTTGAGGATTTTTAAAATATTTATTAAGTCATAGAAATTTAACATTAATTTAATTTTGAATTAAATTCAAACTTTTTAATTCTAATTTTAATATTAAATATAAGGGAAACCAGGGCTAGTCGGCCCAATTTTTGTCAAAATCATCATAGCTCCGAATGATTGTATAAGATCTTACAAAATCCAATCAATACCTTAAACATTTAGCTATAAATATAGTCTGTTATAATTTATAAATTTAATAATTTTTTCTCTAAAAAAGGTTAAAAGTGATTTTATAAACCTAGTAGCTCCAAACCCGTGGTTAGTTGGATCATTGATGTAGCTAACCAAATCAAGTGGTTTATTAGGCTATCTATGAGAAACAAAAAAATTTTCTTCAGATCTTCATATATGCTTTGTTTATATAATATTATTTAAAATTCAAATAAAATAGCAATCTTTCTATAGGACCCATGCGCCCAACCTTTACATACTCTGCATTGAAACCAATCTTCAAAATTATTAAAAGTTTATAGTCCTGTTCATATAATACAAACATCTTTTAATAATATTTTAGTAATATGCTTTTTGACTTTTTATTTTGCTGTTTTAATCGAAGTTGCTTTTTGAATGGTGATGAGTTAAAAATCTCGGATATAATTTTTTAAATAACTTTTTAACAGATAAACCATAGAAAGTTTTACTACATGAAATTAGATATTCAACCATTTTATTTTCCTCCTCATCAAATATTTTTTGTTTATATTGACTTATCTTGGGCATAGTGCCAACCATTTTATATTTTTCATAATGTCTTAAAAAATTTTGGTCTGGGGGGGGGGGGGGGGGGGGATAATAAAATTTTTTAAGAAATATCATTGAGCATAAATTTATTAGGACTAATAACTTTTCTAATACACAATTTTAAATTAATGTGAATTATAAAAAAATTATATTAAACCGGCATTTAAAGAACTATAAAATAAATGTGAATTAAAAAATATTGAACGGATATAAATGGCGGTATTGAAAAACTATAAAATAAATGTGAATTATAAAATATAAAGTGAATATAACCATCATATGAATCACTTAAATGACCCAAAATAGAAAATTGAATTTTTTGATTTAAAATTTATATATAAAGTATAAAAAATTTAATTGTTGGAAATATAAATTAATACACAAAAAGTTTCTTAGGAAAAATTGTATTTTGTATGTTTTGAGCTAATTTTTCAATTATCTCATCCTTGCTTGGCGTTAAATGCCTAAGAATATTCAAAATATTCAAACTATTCAATCTACTTTCCGAAGTTTTACTGAAATTTTTTTCAAAAAAACGCCCAGGCTGGGGCCTGAAAATTTTTTTAAAAAAAAACCCCGAACAGAGTCGAAAAAAATTTTGAAAAAAAAATCCAGGCCGTGCCCTGCAGGGCTCTGTTATTCTTCTTAAAAAGAGAATGTTCTCTCATTAGTTTACTAATGGGAGGAGTTGCTAATATATTTATAACCATTTTAATACATTGGGAATCTAAAATGTGTTTGAAATAATGCAAAGCATCCATAGCATTTTTTGGGATTATATCAACCATAGTTAATCTTTTAATCATAGTTATTCAGCTAATAAGGCATCATAAGATACTTTAATATATTCAAGAAATATTTAATATATATTTTATTTTTCTCTATCACCATCAGAAAAAGGTTGAAGACTTTTGTGGAAGTTCCGCAGATTGGTAAGTTCTGCATGATGAATTAAAAACCATTCATTTATTTGGGTTATAAATGTATCTAAGAGTTGGGACATTTGTTTTATAATACTGATCCTATATTAATGTTACGATGAGCTTGCTTGCTGCAAGTCAAGGGGGACAAATATTAAACACGTATACTGCCTATGACTCAACAATAATATATAAAATATGAAATTCTTTTCAACATTAGCTCTAATTTCCTTGAGTTCTAATAAAATGCTCTCCGCTATTCTCATCTTCTTAATCAAGTCAATGTCATGTTTATTACATAAAATAGTTGTATAATTAAATAATACATTCTAATGAGAAAATAAATTTGGAATAAGTATTGAATCCAATAATTTTCTTGCTTCTGAGGAAATATTTCTTTCAAACCATTATGATATTTCAGTAATAGCATTAATTATCGGCTCTTCTAACTCCATAAAAGCTGTTACTGCTTGATGGCGGAGACTCGATCTCGTTGTACAAGCTTGCAATTTCTTTCTCCCTGTTAGACAAGGAGTTTCAGAGATAATTATTATTTGACTAGAAATTTAGATAAATATTACGCCAATAATATTTGAAAATAATTTGTAAATTACGCCAAGGAAAACTTGAAATCGAAATTAATTGATAAAATAACTTAGTAGATGAATGTGATAAATAAATGTATTTAAATATATATGAGAAATATATATTAACAAATATAAATAAATATTAACAATAATATTTTTGAAAAATATAATCCGGCATCTGCATTTTTTGGCTTTGGAGGGGGATTTGTTCCCCTGCCTCCCTCCCCCCGCTGCGTACGCACCTGCTAGTAGGTATACCTAATAAAGTAAATAATAAATTCACTTATGGATCTTATTAGCAGGCCAAAATAAATATCCCGATATAACTAAAATGTTCATGTCTATTTAAATGTAATAATTTAAATCATATATATTGTCAATTTATATGAAAAACTTTGTTTGCTAGATATAATTCATTTTAAATAATTGATTATGGTAAATAAATAAATGTTCATATCTGTCTGATCGATTAAATATAATTATAAATAGAATTTAATCAATAATATGTCAATCACAATATACGAAGATTTTAGTTTTCAAGATTTTATTTAGGTCTGATATTTTATTAAAATTGAAATGTATTATGATAAATTACATTGATAAATTTATAAAATATTATATTTTAACCTGTAATTGATGTTACATTTCTTGATGACATATCACTTTCATACAATTTTATTGCTTCTTCATAATCCTTTATGGTTTCCTATTTGGAATTTTTATAAATTTGATTACCATAATATTATAAAAATTAATATAATGATTGCCCCGACAAGCTACAATTCTAATAACCCCAATGGTGATAATATTACTAATATGATTTTAGCATATATTTAAGCCTTGCATATCAATCTAAAACTTTCCCGAATATTAAAATAGAGTTTAACTTTCATATTTTGTCCATTTTATCATGTTTAAAATTTTAATTTTTTTTAATACAACCTAATAATGTAAAGGGAAAATATTATATAAATTATTTACTTCCCCAAATATGGATATCATAGAACTCTATTTTAGTACAAAATTATACTTTATAATCGTTACTGGGTTTAAAATAAAATTCTCTGAACCGATATAGCCCTGGTTTCCCCTAAAGATTGAATTATATCGAAAAAGTAAATATTTCAATTTAAGAATTGAATATTTTAATTTAAGAATTAAATATTAGAACATAAATTCTATGTTTAAAACTTTACACTTGTAAAATTTTTAAATTTTTAAATTTAATATATACCAAATGTATCAAAGATCATACATACAACTCTATGATCCCCTATTATATTAATAAAAGGTGTCGTAACTGTCGGTTCAGGATTATTTGAATATATATATTTGAAAACAAATAACATTATAGCTTTCAAACTCATATTAAGCATTTTACCAGCTTCCTACTTTGGAATAAAAAACCGCTTGAAGAATAGGTCAGCAAGAATTTTATTAATATTTTAAACTTTGTCACTAAATCTAAATTAGCATGCTTAAAAATTACGATTTTATAAACATAGAAATAAAAATAGAAAAAGTGACAATTATTATAGTATATAAGACGTTGAAATAAATAGAAAATCACACAAATTTTGTAGTATTCTTTCTTTCTTTCTTTCTTTCTTTCTTTCTTTCTTTCTTTCTTTCTTTCTTTCTTTCTTTCTTTCTTTCTTTCTTTCTTTCTTTCTTTCTTTCTTTCTTTCTTTCTTTCTTTCTTTCTTTCTTTCTTTCTTTCTTTCTTTCTTTCTTTCTTTCTTTCTTTCTTTCGAATCTGATTATGTTACATCATAAATATTGACAGTTTTTACCGCCAATGCTATTAATATGTCGAAGGTAAATATCTTATTTTATAGATCTGAAAAAATAGTATCTAAAACAATCTTTTTTTCCTACTTAAAAAAGAATAAAATTTATATTTATGAACTTGCCTCCTTATTAATTTTTTTTTTGTTTTGAGAAATTTAAACAACTCTCATTTTAAAATTATTAATAATTTTTTAAAAAAGAATTTAAAAAAATCGAAAATAAAATATATAAATGAATTTAACGAACATTAGTTTTGCACTAATAAGATCGCCCAAGATTAAATTTGGGAGGCATTACCCAGAACATTGGCTGAAATACCCTCCTACTCCACATTATTTGCACCAGATATTCACATTTTTTATATTCATTATAGGAGCCCTTGGTATATCCGAGAATGTTGTTTCTCTTTACCTTTTTGCCACGTATAAATAAAATATATAATTATTTTTTGTTACTTTAAAAAAATTTACGAGTATATGCAAAGTATATTACTAATTTGGAAAGGTAAGAATTTTTTTTAAAATTAATGAGTAATTATTAGTGTTGTTAAACGGCTCGTTTTGAGCCGATTTTTAAAAACGGCTAACTCACTATTTCATCCAGAATAATTTAACTCAAGCCTGAAGATTTTGTTTGTAGAAGGAACAAAGGTTTGGACATCTATTAGCGAAATCTCAAGGCTTAGGCTATATTTTTCAGGCTACAATATTGAGTTAACCGTTTTTAAAAATCGGCTCAAAATGAGCCGTTTAACAACACTAGTAATTATATATTTGAATAGATTAGCTAGGCTATGGCAAAAATAAACTTCAAACAATATGACAACTGTTAAGAATCATTTTAATTTTTTATTAAAATAAGGCGCGCTTGCAAGATATAAAAAAAATATCGTATTAAGATATGCACGGGGATTTGAATTTATATCATTTATTGAGAGATTTTCAAATTTGAGAATTCTGATTTCACCGGAAAGACTTCCTACTCTATAAAATTAGACAATTTCCGCTATAAACTTTTGTGTATTTTTTACAATTTATATGGAAATTTATTTAAAAACGGATTTAAATTAAAGTTATTTAAACAGTTTTAAGAAAAATGGTTCGAGAATTCTGATCTGTATGTTGGGTTACATATTTTTGATCAAATCAAATTTTCTAATTAAAAATCGCCTTCAGTAAATGATATGATTTGAGAGATTCCCACACACATCCCAATGAATTCTATATCCCAATACTACATATATGTATGAAAATCTAACTATAAATTGATCAGGAGCTTTCAATTACGTCGCTAGCTTGTTCAACTTGGAGGGCTTATTTATTTTATTTTTTAATTCAAAATTTCCAAAATTAGTTGTTTTTTTTTCACAAAAAAAACGAAGGTTAATCAAAAAAATATTTTTTTTAGGGAATTCTTCAAAGTTCTCAAGGAGTCTTGAGTTTTCTGTGCCATTCACTAACTACATAAAATTTGTAAGAAGTTGTCAAAAACATTAAAATAAATAAAAGGGTTTAACAATACAAATCGAAACCATCTAATAATGAATTATATCAGCGGGAAGTAATAAAAGAAATGCAGTGTACTAAATCAAGGATTTACCTAAAGACCAAAGTAATACCTCGGTTTAGCCAAATTTGGAAAAAAAGATTTTTCATTTTTCAAGTTATTTACTACTTTCAAAGTTCAGTAAGCTTAAATTATACTTAAAAGAATTATCATATTAAAAATAACACAGTATCTTGTTTACCTTTTAAAATATATATGGATTTAGAAAAAAATACGATTACTATTTAGCTATTCACCTTTGGAATTAGTCTGCCAAAGTTGTAAAGATTTATAAGCAATATAATAAATATTTAAAAACCTCATATTTATACTATAATAAAATTTTAAAAAGTAGCAATAAACGTAATTCATTTACTAATACAAATAACGTTTCCGTCATTAATTTTAATTGAGGAATTGATGTTATACTACAAATTGTTGATAATTTATTAGGATTGAAGTTACTAGACCCTTAAGGTTACAAAAAGTTTAAAGAATAAAAAATCTTAAAGGTTTTAAAATCAAGGAGTTTAAAAAAGTCCGATGAACACTCAAATAAAATTGATTAATAATAACATCCAGCGTAAAGTCAATGCTAGAAATCAAATTTATCCTGCTTTCACAGAGACATTTTTGCCCACTTCGCTGGGAATTGGCCCTAACTATGAATTGCGAAGTTGAACGGATTCAAAAAAATAATTTAATTTCGCTTTGTTTAAAATATTGTTACAGATGATATAAAAACTAGCTGAATAATATACAAACTATCAGAAATATTTTTGTTTTGATTATTTTTAAAGATTTTAGAGGTATATATGATTATTTTAAATAAATTTGTTAATGTTTCTCATTTTCAATATATAGACTTTTGTATATTTTTCCCATTTTTTAAATATTTTATGATTTTTAACTTTTTTCTTTTTTCCATTTTTCTAATGTTTTCGAAGTATTTTAAAAATTGTAATCTTATTTTTTCTCCAATGTATTTCTACTTTTGAACATATTTTTAACCCATTTTTTTGATTCATTTTTTTAAAAAAGATTTCTTATTTCTTTCTTTTTTAAAATTTTTATTTCCGCTTGTTTTTTCAGTTTATTAATAGAAAATTTTTAAACTTATTTCTTCATTTTAAGATAGTTAATTTATATTTTCATTTTTCTGTATATTCGTCACGTACCATATCAAAACATTTTCAGCTCCCACTATTATACTCAAAATAGGGAATCCAGATATTAACCTAATTTCCTACTTTCAAGTGAATATAGGCATTTCCGGTATTTTCATAGGGTGGAGGTTTTTGAGTGGCTTTTCCCGATTTAAAGTTTTTAGCAAGGTTATTATTCAAAAAAAAAAATGGTTACATTATACTTATTGTTTAAATTTTTTTTTATTGTTTATGGGATGCTATTTCCTTTAAATAATATTTTTAAAAACCTTGCAAATTTTTCTTGGGGAACAATTTCCTTCCTCTCAGGTTACTTTAATACTCAAGGAAAAACTGTATTAGATGGAGCAAGCATCTTCTCAGCTTGTTTTGGCATTTTGATTAAAAAAAATTCTACAACCTGGCATAACGTTATTTAAATAAAATTCCTTTTTTCATTTTTCATTTTCCTCGTAGAAACAAAGTAATTGCCAAACAAAATTCTCAATATAAATCGGAATTTTCGGCTAGAAATTGTTTTGCAAAAAATTGTTATTAGTGCATTATATTTTAATAATTTATATTAGATTTAGTATTTTTAAACGTCTAGATATTAGCCGATCTTTAAAAACTACTAACCCAATATTTTAGCTAGAAAAATGGTGCCTAAGTCTGGAAATTTCGCTAATAGATGTCCAAAACCCTTGTGCCATCTATGAGCAAAATTTTCATATCTGCGTAATATTTTTCCCGATAAAATATTGATCGGCTCTAATCGAGCCGTTTAACAACACTAACTAGATTAGATGAATGTTTTTTTTTAAAATATATACAATTATTATAAATATCATGACAAAATATAAATTAATCTGAGACAGTTTAAAATTTGGGTTCGTATTCACTCCAAGAATGCTCTCGCGTTATTTTTTTATAACGAATTATCTCAAGGATTAAATCCCAATTACCTCTAGAATCAAACTTTTAAATATATTTTTTTTACCAATGATTAGAGATATGGCTATCCCCTTGATAAAATTTTGTATGTTATTACAACACATTTCCATTATACTAATTAAACTTCTTGACATTATATAAAAAATAAATAAAAATTTTTACATTTTAATTAAAATTTTATTTATTAATGTAGCTTTATAAAATAATATTCTGAAGTATTCGTTCGGGAGGCACGATTTAAATACAAACTATAAATTATTTTTTACAAATCAATGACATTAACATGATAGATCATGTAGAAAAAAAAATAGATTTAAAAAAACCATTTTTCGAAAAAGTTTTAATTAATTTCAAAAAATAAATTTTAATTATTATTTTTTTTTAATCTAAACAACTATCAGAACAGATATATATGTTTTACTGGGAAAGGGATCCGTGGGAATTCGTAATATCTCTATTTTAAATCCTTTACCTAGAGCGATTTAAACAATTTTAAAATCCGATTTAACCAGAAGTATATTCTAGTATGAATAGAGTATTTACCCTATAAATTTCAGCCACCCGCCATTGACATTTTAGTACCTTTTTAATTTATATGAAAAATCCATATAAATATTTAATATAAAATAGTAGTTTCTAAAGTTCATGGCAAAATTGTTTGAAATTTACAGTTTGGATTCTCTATACTTGTTGAAATACAATTTCTGTCAAATCAGATTTTTAAAATTTAAGAATCGCCCTTAATAAATGATTCAAAATCGAGGGATACTAAATTCACATGGATTCCATATTCCAATACGACATGTATATTATATTACAAGCCATGTGCATAATCGGACAATATATTTGCTTAATATCTTATAGAATCCTCTAAAAAAAATTTAGGGTAAGTATTTTGCACATGCTGGATGCCATTTCCGGAATAGGTGGATTTTTTTAAATATTAAAAAACTCGCTTACCAAATGATGGAACTATTTTTTTCCCCATCTTTAAATCATTTTATTTATGGTGTTTAATAAATTTGAAATTCTGATTTTACCGGAAATGTATTCCAGCATGCGTAGAACCGTATTTACGTTAATACCGCAAAACTTTTTCGCTGAAAAGATTTTATAGCGAATACATAACGGCGAATGTTGATTATCGAAAAAATATATTTCTGCGAAAACATTACCGAGAAGGCCTTACAGCGATTTGGCGAAAATATTATCGCGAATGCATTAAAACAAATTTATTGACTCAAGGGGGTTATGGCGATAGCGGACTTATTTTTGTGAGTGTATTATCGTGAATACGTTACAGCGAATTACCGCGAAAAACATTATCATGATTCTATTCCAGCGAAATCAATATCACGAATGCATCACAGTGAATTTATTACAGCTAAAACATTATCGCGAATAACAGCGAATTCAAATATAAACTTCACAACGATTTATCCTTATATATATTTTTTTTATAAAAATTAATGAATTTATAAACCATTTCTGTTAAAATCATCTGACGAGTAATTAAATCAACTTCATAATTGAAAATCGTGTTTCATCGCCTAATTCGGGAAAGATTATTTGCCGATATAAATTCGTGCAATTAATACTACACAAGTCACTTAAAAAATTATATATTAAAATTAATGACAAGAAACTCAAAGATGGAAATGAAGTGCTTAAAAAAGGATGCTTGCGTTTGCGTAAGCACCTATGATGCCTGTCCTATAAATTCGAAACTTAAAGTAGCTATCATCAATTAAACTGCAAGTTAAGAATAATTTTGGCTGGGCTGAGAAGTTTTTTTTTTCTCTTTAGCTTTCACTTTTTCTGGTGGTAAGCTCCTTCAACATCTCTCTCCACTTTATGTTATTCATACAATCTCTTTTATCTAATTTATACTTCTTTATATTGGCCCTAACTTTATGGCCCCATTGAAGTTTTGGCCTTCCTCTTTTACGTTTGCTCACTTCCAAACTCTCAACCTTATTTCCTATGTAGTTCATAGGCCTTCTCATTATTCGCCCATACCACCTAAGTCTGTTTACCATTAACTTAGTCTTAATTGGCACTACCTTTAAACTACTTAGTATTCTTGTACTGCGAACTTTATCCTTTCTTGTTACTCCAGCAATCATCCTCAGCATTCTCATCTCCATATATGTAGACTTCTCTCGTCTGATTCCTTAGTTGGCCATGTTTCTGAACTATATAGAATAGTTGGTTGTACTATGGAACTGTAAATTTTTCCCTTTAATTTGTGTGGGATTCTTTTGTTAAATAGCACTCCAGATAAATATCTCCACTTTAACCACCCTTGATTAATTTTACTCTTTATCTCATTTTCTATTGTGCCGTTTGTTTGTATAGTGGAGCCCAAATATTTGCAGCTTTCAATTGCCGATATCTGCCATTCATTTATATCAATGCTCTCTGTTTCTTCTCCTCGTATCACCATATACTCCGTCTTTTCTCTATTTACTTTTAGTACGTGCTTTTCTAGGATATTTATCCAGTTCACTAATCTTTCTTTCATTTCATACTAGGATTCGGGCAAGTATCACAATATCATCTGAAAATATCATATTCCACGGGACTGTTTGTGGTATAGACTCTGCTAATACATCTATTACTGTTATGAAGAGAAGTGGGCTGAGACCCGACCATAGATGAACTCCCTCGGCTATTGTGAAGCCTGTTGAAGTACCAGTTGTGCTATGGACCATTGTTGTATGGCCCATATACATATCCTGTATTATTCTTATATATTTTTCGAGAACCTTTTTGTGGCGTAGCGCCCGCCAGATAGGTTTTCTTGGGATTCTATCGAAGGCCTATTCTAGATCGAGAAAGACCATGTGTAGCTTTTTGTTCTTTTTCCTGTATTTTTCACTCATTTGCCTAATTGCGTGGATAGCATCAGTTGTTGATCTTCCAGGCATAAAGCCAAACTGAGTCTCTCCTATTTCGAGTATGTCTCTTAATCTTTTTTCTATTATTTTTTCGTATAGTTATATACATTATGACCTATTGTTTCAATGTCTGCATTGATAGCAAAAGCATCTGTCATTGATTTTAATCTACCCCATTTGATGCATGGTTCTAATTTTATCTTGTTTAAAGTGGATTTATTTGTGAAGTGTAATCCATGACTTGTATGTTATTAAATGACTGTCTTTTTTCCGATAGTAGGTATTGGTTAAGGCAAGGTCGAAGGCTTGCGCAAATTTCAATACGTGCTCTTCTTCATCATTTCTTTCTCCATATCCAAAACCACCATGATGCCTTTTGTAGCGGTCTCTTGCTTTCTCCACATCGCATTTAAGTCACCACCAATTATGACTAGATCATCCTTAGGGATTTTCATTACAGCTTCATCAAGGATAGCTCTAAAGTCATCTTTCTCTTCTTCCTTGCAACCCGTTTGAGGAGCATATACTGAAAAGATGTGTAGTATTGATTGACCAATGCAGAGTTTTATCTTCATTAGTCAATCAAAGATCCTGTTGACTTCTGCTACTGAGGAGGTTAGATCTTGCTGAGGGTGATGCCGACGCCGTTCCTATTGCTAGCAATCTTGTCTTCTTTACTTTGACCTTTACTTTACTTTTCACAGGATGGAGGTCTACACCCTGCGCGTCGCTTGGAGGGAACGCCCTAGCTTTCATATTCATATTTCCATTTGTTTCCTTCATTTTGTTTATTGGATAGGTATCCTTAGCACCTGGCTGTCCAGGCTTGTCGGTTACTGGGGTTCATCTCGCTCTGAAATTCATCTTACCATATGTCCTTACACATTAGTCATCGAAAAAAAACTTGAAAGTATTTATGTCCTTACCAGGATTGAACCTGCGTCCTTCTTCGTCCTTCTGTTTCCAAGCATACATCTAAGGCCACCCCGGGGATGGGCTGAGAAGTATTTATAATAATTAAAATTAAAATTCTCAATTCTTTTACCTTTTTAAATCTAAACGTGATAAAAAGATACTTTTTTTCTTCTTCTTAAATTTTCGAATATATATAATGATTTTAAAAAAAACCAGAGGGTGTATTTTCAGAGTTGTTAAAGTATTCTAGATGTGTCTGTATCTAGACTTGATATATTTTTATAAAAAGTAACGGTATTGGTATCTAGACACTATTTTGGAAGTATTGTTATCTATAGATGCTTTGATATAATTTTATTTTACATTTTTTTTAAAATACCAAAACAAATAATATTTGAATCAAATTCATTTAATAATATGTCCGAGTTTGTTTAATTAAAAAGACAAACCAGACAAATTTTATTTTACACAATGGATGACGACAACATGGTAAATTTTATATTATTATTTGTATAGAAATATATATTATAATTTTTAGATTATATTTCTAGACAATCTCCGAAAAGAAATCAAAATATTAGATTTTGGGCACCCCTTAGATGATATAAATATTTATATAAGTTTTGACACTCAAATTTTAAATAATTTTTTTTAAAATGAGTATCGGAATTATATTATATTTAATGATTATACCAATTTGGAAAGTTATTCATTAATTATAATTTACAGTCAAGTGCCCTGGTAAGAGTTTAATGTCGGTAAAAATGACTTTACAGTTAAACAAGGGTGCTAATGATAAAAATTTTGAGAATATTTTATCATTAAAATCTAACAATTATTTTTTATATTAATAATCAAAACAATCATTATTATAAAAGTCCTTCAATATTCATTTCCTCAGAATAATTTAATAGAAAGATAATTTATTTGGAATAATAATTTTGTAGGGATAATTTAAAGGAATACTAATAGCTAATCATATTTTTATTTCAAGTCATTTTATTTATAATTAACATTGATTAAAAATTTTATTATATTTTAAGAAAAAAAACTTCTTCTGTTTTAAAATATAAAATCAACTAATTAAAATATGCAATAATTGATCGACATTTCATAAAATCTATTTTTTAATTTATATTATTTAATTTATATGTTCGCCAACTGCCACAATTATATTAATTATATATTTGTATACAGATACTATATAAGCTCAATAAATGTTTTGGCTCACTTGGAAATTTGAATTGCAATAATAGAATCCTATATTTAGTATTATGCACACCTTATATAAATAAAAATTGTATCTTTACTGGATTCATTTTCAATTTTAGACGATGTATCTGTATCTAGATTTATTTTTGACAATGTATTTGTATATAGATCCATTTGGAAAATATCTTTTAACAACTCTGATCCTTTTTGTTTTGAGACATCATATAATATTTTACATAAATTTAACAATTTTGTGGCATTTTTATATTATTAGCCAGAAAAACAGTGCTTACGCCTGGACTTTTTTATTCTATATGTCCAAACATTTTGTGCCATGAGCAAAATATTTAGGGCATAAAATATTGAATTAGCCCTTTTTAGAAATCGCCTCAAATCGAGCCGATTAAACAACATTTAGGTTTTAAATTTTGATATATTAACAAATTATTATATAAATATGTATATATATATATATATGGAATTCAAACATCAGCGAAAAAAATCTGAGATCACCTTCAAATTCAATCATCATGAATTTAGCCCTGTCCGATTTATTCATGTTAACTAGTAATTGCCCATTGAATTTTGTATCAGGCTTGTACGGAAGATGGGTATTTGGAGAAATAGGTTTTATTTTTTTTTTTGCTAATATGAATAAATGTTAACAATATCATATACCTAATCTAGATATGTAATTATTATTAACTTCTACTACATAATATTAATGAGATGCATCACCTTGTAGGTAAAAAATTTTAAATTCCACCCCTAGACACTTTCACAATTTATAATGTAAAATCAACAATTAAATGATAATTTCATATTTAGTGGTTTTTGATTTATGAAATCCACTAGGAATTAGGAATCTCGCATATTTTATTGCCCGTTCTAAATCACTAAAAAAAATCACTAAAAACAAAATAAAAATTGGGAATTTTGCTTATATCTTCTACAAAATTTTTATGGTAAATTAGATAGGGGAAATATCCAGGGTTGACAAGTCGGTCAGTTGACCGGTCAAATTCATTCAATTGACAGGAAGAGTATTTGACCTGGTCAAATACGGTCAATTACTCTAAAATATCTGAAGAAAACAATTAAAAATATGTTTGAAAAGAAGAAAAAAGATATAAATACATGTTATCACAATGCTGCTTATCTATTGGATCCCCAATATCAAGGGGAGCTTCTTATTAGTAGTGGATTCAATTATGTGATATAATACAAGAAATATGCATTTTGCAAGGTCATGATAATCAAATGTCAATAGATATTAATTTCAGAAGTAAAAGCTGAATGTGTAATAGAAACGTATGTAGAAAGCAGTAACTTCCATAAGAAACAATCAGATTCCGCCTCAAGTTAGTGGTATGAGTTTTGCCCACCATTATCATTAAGAGTAGTGACATTTTATTACTAATTCCTAGTTTTACTTCTTCTCTAGAGAATTGGTCGACTTGGGTTGACATTCTTACTAAATCAGAAATCGATTGAAGATCCGGACAACGGTGAAAAAAAATTGATTAAAAAATATTTTATGAAATGCTGATATTGAATATGAAACAGTAAAGATTCTGCTATGCAGAGCGAAACATTAGTTAATTACAATAAATTTAAAAAATATTATAAAATTAATATTATAAATCATAAAGTCAATATTATCTTAAAAATATTCATTTTAATTTGTCATATTTGATTGTTCAAATAACATACCCTGAAAATATCATCAATATTCCCAAAAGTTGTTTCCAATTCTGGGTACAGTAATTGTATTTCCTCCATCTTTAACAATTTTTTTTTTAAAAATCAATTTAAATGCAAAGATTTACTTCCCTGGCATCCATGATTATTATTTTTAATATTACTTTAATAATTTCCTAGGCGATATAAGAAAGATTCCCAATTTTTAGAGATTTTGTTTTCGCGATTTCGAACGTTATTATCATTTTTACTGGGTGCGACATTTTAAATTCTAAAAAACCTGATTTGAACGGAAATGTTGGCATGTGTAGACTTACTCACACTGTCAAATTCCAGACTATCTTGCCGTTGAAATCAAAAATTGTTTGAAAATTTATAGAGCAATGTTTTCTCTATACACGTGCTAGAATTATACATTTCTTATCGATCAGATTGATTTTTAAAAGTTTAAAATTTGCCCATGTTAAATGATTTTAAAAAATTAATAGATTATGAATCCTTAAAAATTGTTTATCCAAAATACAACATATATCGTATGAGAGTTATTAGAAGTATTCTAGATAACTTATACTCAAATCGGATATCTTAAAATTTTTTTTTACAAAAAAAACAAAAGGTTGTGATATATATGGGTTTTCGGGTTGTGTTTTTGGCCTGACCTCTATCAATACCATAGCCTTAATATCCATAGACCGCCTCTACAGTGTTATGATGTCGCTTCAAAGAAAAAAAATATCCTATGTCCTTACGACAAGCTACATCAGCGCCGTTTGGGTTTATTGCATAATATGGTCTGCTCTGCCCTTCTTCGGCATAAACGAGTACGCGTTAGAGGGATTTTTGACCACTTGTACCGTCAACTACACTTCTCAGGTTAAAATTTTTAACGATCGTCTTGCTCAAAAGAAAAATTCATTAAATTTTAAAATTATTTTTTTAGTAAATTTTAATTCACTTTTTATCGTGAAAAAAAATTTCGTAAATTTTTTCATTTTATTAAACAGTATCTATCATAATACTATTAATAAAATATTCAATTTTCTTTATAAATTTAATTTAACAAATTCCAAAATATATTGTTACACATGGAATAATATTACTCCATTTTAATAATATATCAATGATAGAATTAAATCTGTTATGATGATACTGACTCATTATTTCATTTTTTTTTTATGATTTAACACCAGTTTAATGAGTTAAGGATTATAAATATAATTATATTTATGCTTCTATTAGGATTTCATCAGTAATATTAGCGGATCGATGACCTATTTTAAAAACGGCTACTTATTTATCCAGAAAAATACTATGCAACCCTGAAGATTTTGCTCATTGATGACGCGAAGGTTTGGACAACTATTAGCGAAATCTTAAGACTTGGCAATATTTATCTGGCTAAAATATGAGTTACCCGTTTTATCGGTTCAGAACCGTTTAACCATTAAACAATATTACATCATTTTAAAAAAATCATCGTTAAATCCACGTTTTATTTGATTTAAAAACAAAATGTATTTTTTTCATTATTATCTAGAAAAGAGTTTCCAAGATATACAATCTATGCTTATTTTTGTTCTGTTTTATCCTACCTTTATTAATTATTGCTGGAACCTATACCAAGATATTCCACATCTTGTCCAAACATCAAGCAGATATGAAAAGTCAAATTAAGAATCTCACATCATCCGAAGGAAAACTTTTGACAAAAAACTTTAACAAAACAGTTAAAATGGCCAAAATTGCATTATATTTGTTAACCGGGTATGATATTTTACTTTAGACTATGTCAAAAATATCAAAAAATTTGATTCGCAAACTTTTAAAAACTTTATCGAAAAAAGAAGAAATAAGATTTTTTTAAAAAAAATAAATATATGAATCAAAGATCTGCAGAGGTGTCATTTACTCGGCCCGAATTTTTTAAAAAAATTTTTTGGTATGGCCGGGTCCGGGATTTATATTTTCAGGCCCAGCCCGGATTTGTTTTATAATATATTATATTTATTTTTAATTTTTATAGGTAATAATGGAAAATTTTGGTTTTAAAATATAAGGCCCGGTCTTTTTTTATGCCCGGTCAGGTCCGGGTATATTTAAAAACTAAAATATGGCCCAACCTGTGCACCTGGGCCGGGCTTAGGGCCGGGCCTGCAGGTCTCTGATAAAAAGAAAAGTCCAATAGTTCCAGAAAATTTAAAAAATTTTATAAATTTCGATTTCATTAAAATTTTAAAACTTTTGTAAGTTTTAAAACTTTTTGAGTTTTTAAAAAAAATATTTTGGACCAAGTCTTCAAAGAAATTTAAAAAAAAATAATTTCCTTTTTATTTCATTTAAAATTAAATGAATTTATGGTAAAAATTAATCACACAATTCAGCCAAAATACCTCCCCCCCCCCTCCCAACACTTCTTAATTGCATTTAGAAGGCTTAAATGTGGGAAATGGTGTGAACTAAAATTTAAAAAAAAATCGTCTTCTTCAAAATTCTTTCTATCATTTTAAATTTTTGAGATCACGTACTAGGATTTTAACCAAATAAAAGTTCCAAGTAAAAAAGTGGTTATATTTATTTTAAATTAGCATTTATATATATGTTAGCGGAAAAGTGTTTTCCCGGCTGGTAACTAAATCATTATTTGAGCGCAAAATATAAAAATATCTTTGGAATACCTACCTTATGAATTTCAGATAATGTTACCATGAACTTTTTAACTTAATATAATTTATATTAATTTTTACATAGAATTTTTATAAAAATTATAAATGGCTCAAAGGATAATGGCGAAATTGTCTATAATTCGTAAGATAGATATTCAAAACATAAATACATTACCGGATTTTCAAATTGAAAAAATAAGCGCTTAAAAAATGTTTGAAGTTGAAAGAATAACACATTCCCGGAAAAAAACACATATAGCTAACATATATATTTTTTTATCATTTATTTAACTCTTTTTTCTATATTCAAGTTTAATTCTGTCCAGCATGATAAATTTTCAAACATTTAATAAAAAATTTTAAAATTATTATGGAATTTTTAGGAATATTTCTAAAAACAACACTGTCTATTCACGAATTCGAAAAAAAATAAAATAGTGGTAGACAGATTTTTTTCTTTTTCTTCTTAGTTAATTGTACTACATTAACTAGTGGTGAATTTATTTAACATCTTACTTCGCTCAATCACATTTTTCTTATCGATTTTATCAGACTCTTTTAACATGTGGTCCTATTTTAGTTTAATTTATTTTTAAAAAAAAATTTTCTTTATCTAATATTCATATTATTCAGTAATCCATTGTGCACATAAACTGGAGAGGGGGAGACAATATCTTAAAGGCTTTTCGGGGAGGAGGTTAAAATGTAGAGGACTGAATTCCAGCATATTATCTCCAAATTTTCTTGTCCCATGTAGACCCTGCACTAATTTACTTAAATGATTTTTTCCACATCCTATGAATTATCTTACATATTGTAAACAGGTTCTTTATACGTTCATTTTATGTTGTATCTACTGTCGCTTAATCCGAATATCCCTTCATCATCATTGTCTCGAGACGAACATCCTCCCTTTTCTCATATTTAATTCTCAACACTATATAGAAGAGTAAGGACGCATAGACTGTGTCGCTAACCAATTACATTTCGATTTCGGTAATTTGTGTATTATGTCTGTTTTACTCCGCACAAATCTCATCATTTCATCCAAATATCTGCATCTTTTAAATCCTATACAACATAAATGCCAATTATGATCTCAATTGTGATCTTAACTAAAGTTTGCCCTCATATTCGATCTTTTTCCTATTTACTCTCAACCCATAATTTTTTATTTATTTATCTCATTCATGTCGACATCATAGCCAAAACGGAGTACTTCCATAAATATCTGTTTTGATTATAATTTGCACATTTGTGATAGATATGAGTAATGATAACAGGGCCTTTAGGACACCTACTTTTATGGCAAAAATTGATTGATCTTCCGTGCATCTGATATACGTTTTATGATTATGAGATGACCTAGCATATCTCTAATAGGTTATCTAAAACTTGGAACATTTTAATTCCTGAGACAGGAACAATATTTTGACCTTGTTGTCTAAGTCGATAAAATGGCGGAAAATATTTCTTCGGAAAAACCTCATATTTTTTTCCTGAGAACGGAGAAGGGCTATTTTTGATGTTTCCAGGGCTTTAACTTTAAAATTTCACAATCAATTTTCTGATTTAATTTCCCGGTAGTTAATATACCACAATCCTATATATCAATATCGGATTACTTTCTCTTTATTAAAATGCCTTACCAGTGCGTCTATCTTCTTCATTATCCCTATTCTTTTGAGTTTTGATTCGTCATAAGTAGGGTGTGTACCATTGGTTTAGTGTTTGCTTTATATCTCTAAGGGGTATTCATTAGTTATTAATTTATAATCATCTCCTACACTACCTTTTATTTAAACTATCTTTACTTCAAAAGCTTCAATATTTCCATTTATCTATATTGCCTTTATAAAATATATCATATTCTCGCTATCATCATACCTTCATCCTTTATTTTCAAAAGTCCCCTTAGGTGTTTACCTAACCTTATACATAAGCATCTATTTTCTTTTTCTTTATCCAAACTTTATATAATTTTCTTTCAACTTATCCTGACACTCCTATTGCCAACTTTTCTTTTTCATAAGTTAACAAGATTTATTTTCTCCGATAACCCTTCATCATCTCATCTCATTCACATAAAAATCTTCGCATTTCTTAGGTTTTGTGGTTAAAACACCACACTTGAAGTTTCTCTCTATTATTTTTGATATTTACTTCGAACCTCATAATATAAAATGATATTTGGTGCACTTTTGTTAAACTACATAATAATCATTCATTCTCGAAATAACCTCGATATATATATATATCAAATATAATTTGAATAATTATAAATTAAATATTTTAATCTAATAAATAATACGAGGTTTAACTTTCAATCAGTGTCAAATTATATATAAGTAATACAAAAAGGTTATTCATTTATTCAAAAATATTATAATAAGTTATTTAAATAACAATTCAACAATTTTATTATTCATTTTTTCGTTATGAAATCGGTTTTATTATTTTAATGAGGAATCTTGGCGTATATACGATAATTTGTCAACTCAGGGAATGTTCAACTGAAGGATATTTTTTAATTGGATGAAATATATTTAATATTGACCAAATATCTGAAGTATACGAAGTGGGGATTAAAGGTTAGAGAGATATGGATTAGGGGTTATTTACAGGTTTGAGAAATATGGTTTAAGGTTTTAGATTGGTTTTTAATTAAATGTAATTCTTTCTATTAATAACCTTCAAAACCTGTCAGGTCATGTGGTTATAAATAGACGAAATTTTATAAAATTAAATCAGCTGTTATTTGGTCCATAATAATATATTTCAAATATTTAGTTGTTTAAACGTCTATAGGCTTATAACAGAAAGGTTGGGCAAAACAAAAGCCTCTACGCAAGAACTACAATAGAATTTTATTACTAAAAAAAATTAATCATGTAAATTAAAAGATCAAAATCTCTTTATTTATAAATTTAAAAATAGTTTTTATATTATAAGAGATTTATAAAATAATATGGGGTGTATATAAAAAATTAATTTAAAAAAAGGAATATTGAGACCAGTAAATAACTAATTTTAAAAAAAGTTGTGGAATCATCCAAGGGTGGAGAAGATGATCAGGAAGTTAGGTCGACAGATCTTTATAGAAAGAGATCCACCATCTTAAGTAAAAGTCTCTGGTTTTGATCTTCGTTGTCTAAAGTTAATATTTTTCCTAATTTTTTTAATTAATTGAATGCTTCTTCCTAATAATTGGAAAGTCACTTTCCCAAAGATTTTTAAGGCGTTTGTAATTAAAATTAAAAATGTAGTTTTTGAAGGTCGGAGTATTTTTTAAGATTTCAGTGTGAACCAGGGCAAAGTGTCAATTATTTTATATAACTGATACAAGTATAGTCCGTCCCAGGCTGGGGAAAGGTCGACTCATCCATGGAAATATTATCAATGTAGTCGATATTGGGGTTTATCGTCGATAGTTTTACCATAATCAATGTGATTAGATTATGTTATTGTATTACAACCTAGGCAGAGTGCGATAAAGATTAAACTGTTCTGATGAGAGGAGCATCCCGAAGTCGGATCTGGGTATTAATCTCAAGCCATTCAATGCCAGTTTTAGGCTTTAAATATTATTGGTATTGATCTGAAGGTCACCATTCGTAAGGAGGCAATCAACGGAATAAGCAACAATTAGAGAATCCCAGTTTTTTGTGAATGGGAAGTTGGTCTAATATGAGATAGTGGGCAAATTTTGTCCCACCTTTTGGCGAAGGTTAGGACGTCATAGGTTGAGGTGGTTGATGAATTCATGGAAGGAAAGATTAGATAAAAACCGATCTAGATAGGCACATAGGTGTGCGGATATCAAACCCATTTGATTTACATGCCAAAGTAGTGGCTTGTAGTTAAACAGAAGGAAATTTAGCGATTCAATTAGGCTTTTATTTTTAATTCCTGCGAGGTCGGAAGTTCCCAATTTCGATTAAGTGGATAAGAATCTATATATATTACTATAAATATTTATTAATGGTTTGTTATAGATACCTTATAGCATGGGGACCTTACTCTATAGTATACATTTTAAGTGCCATAGGATATGGTGAAAATATTACCCCTTTCATGTCTATGCTGCCAGCAATATTGGCGAAAACGTCTGGCATATATAATCCTATCATTTATGTTGCATCACATGAAAAGTTTAAAGAAGTAATTTTATGTTTCATTCATCAAAAACTTATTATACATGGTCCAGTTATTTAAAAAATTAATATAAAAATAATGAATATATCCAATGTTGAATTAAAATCAATTTAATTATTTTGAAAATAAATTCTATTAGAATGCAATTCAGAAATTTTCTAAAAAATAAGAAAATTAAGACGCGGCCCTTAAAATCTTATTCTCTATAAAGAAAGCAAATTATATATTTTTTTTTAAATAACGGTTATTACTTCAGTTTTGACTGTGACCTAAATATTAAATATATAATTAATAAACTTTCGTAATTTTAACAAAAAAAATGTAAATTAGCTATTTTTAAATAAAATAGGGCCTAAATCATTTTTTTGAATTTACGAAAAAGCAAGAAATATTAATTTATATTTTTAAAATTATAATAAGAAATTGACAGTTAGTTATATTAATCAAAATGTGAAGTATTTAAATTAAATGAAAAAAATAAAAAATAATTTGGTGCAAAACTCTTAAAAAAATTTTAATGGAAGATTTTGGACATGTTTCATAATAGTTACGAAAGTTTTGAAATTATTTTAAATATTATATCACTCCCAAATATAATTTTCTTGCTATGAATTTAATTATTCAAAAAAAATAACTTTTTGTAAAGCTATTTTTGATAGTCCACAGAGTTAATTTCCCCTTGTCTAGCCCAATTTATTCACACCTATTTGTTTTATATAACATTTATATAAATATTTTTTTACTTATCGTTTCTGTAATAGATTTTGAAAAAGAAATACAAAATATTCCGAACTGTATTAGAATCCTTTAAAGAAGAAGAAAGAAAACGAAAAGTGGTCAGAGCGGACACAGACGTTACTAACGAAACGTCTTATTCACAAAATGACCCTGAAATTGGATCTCTAAATATTAACCCCGCTATATCATATATCGCTACCCCTGATATATCAAAAACTAAAACAGTTGATAATTCAGAATCAAATCCCAAAAATGTTGATAAAAGCCCCAAAAAGGTATTACAGGAACAGCCTACTTCCGACTTTCATATTAAAGAAGCCCAAATAAAAATTGTGGTAGCTGAGGTAAACGAGACTCTTAATAAGAATTTAGAAAAAAATATAATGGTTATGTCAAATATAAACACTGATTCGAATATATCAAACCTTACTCCTATACCCACGAGGTCATCAGAAGTCACCGAATTATAGATATAAAACCCAAATGAAAAGTAATCTGCTTCTAGCATTATTCACGTAATCATATTATGTGTTTCAATTCACCTAGCTAGCTTAAATGTTAAAGAAAAATATTTGTGCACCATTGACAACACCAAATAAAACTTTTGTTTTTATTACACTTATTAACAGTTTCAAATTATTTATATAAATTTTTAAAATTATTTTGTGATCTATGCCTATTTATTATATAAAATAAAAATTGATAATCTAAATTCACATTTTAATAACACGATATTTCCAATTTTTAGAACGAATAAAATATATGTTACTCACGCTCATAGCTAATGTGTTATTTTAATTTTACCGATTTTCCATCAGTTTTTAAATATTTTACAGTTAAACATTATTTCTAAAAATAGTAGCGCATTGTCGTTACTTGTTATTTTTCTGAAAGTAACGCGTTATCACTTACTTTTCTAGACTGAAATTAATTGCGAAATTAAATTAAAATAAATTTAAAAAATGACCTTTTATTCTATCATTTGAATAAGGTAAAGATAGACGACGATTCATTTATAAACGTTATTTTACAGCATACGTATTTTAAGTATTTTTCGCTAAATTTGAACTATTTTTAAAATAAAATTTTTTTTCTCTAAGTTTTTATCGAATATAATTGATTTTGATATCTATTAATTCGATAATTCATTATATGGCAAGATCCAATGCAGATAGTATTAAAAAATATATAAAGTTACCTTGATGTTGTTAAGGTTATTTATGGTATCTTGATATACGAATATAAAGTATTCGAAGGAAATGTACTGCATAACTAGTATCAAAAAAAATTACGATTATTCGATTCATATTTTTTGTTTTTTTAAATAGAAATAATTCAAAATACTTAAATATCCTTTTTTTTAAATATATATTTTACTAAAATAATCTTAAAAATTTCATACACAAACTTTTTATCAATAAAATTCTGGTTAAAATTGGAATTAAAATCTGGAACTATAACGACTTTTGTTTTATAAAATATATAGTTTCATTATTTATATAAAATGAATCGAATCGAAAAATACATTATGAATATTCGACAAATAATAATATTCAAATTCAATATTCGATTAAGGAAAGAATAATAGGTCTAGCCGATGGAGCGAATGTAGTTTGCATTGATTTGCATTTAGGATAGCTATGGACATCCTCTATTCTAGAAAAGGTCTCTCGAGGCTTGTCAGAGAGCTTACAGATATAAAATCCCAAATCTTTGAAGAAAAATAAAGGAAGTTTAGTTGAGAATTAATGAAGTAGATATAATTATAGGTATGCCCATATTTGGGCCGATTTTAAGGCTTGTTGGAGCAGAAATATTTATTTGTTGTGCCTGACGACCTTTACACGATTTGCATTGAAACTAATATTTCATATAAATATTCAATATTGAAAAAAAAGGAAATATAAAGGGAATTATAAAAGAATATCAGCAATAGCAGGCGCGTACGTAGCGAGGGGGGGGCAGGGGGACAACTATCCCCCCCCCCCCCCCAAAGCAAAAAAATGCAGATGCCGGATATATTTTTCAAAAATATTATTGTTTATATTAATTTATATTGTTAATATTTATACCTATCTCATATTAAATATATATTTAATTACATTTATTATCACATTCATCAACTAAGTTATTTTATTAATTAATTTCGATTTCAAGTTTTCCATTATAATATTTACTTATTATTTTCATATTTTTAGTGGCGTAATATTTATCTAATTTTTAAATTTCTAGTCAAATAATAATTATTCTGAAATTTTCCAACAGAGAGAAAGAAATTGCAACCTTGTCCAACGAGATAGAGTCTCCGCCATCAAGCAGTAACAGCTTTTATGGAGTTAGAAGAGCCGATTATTAATGCTATTACTGAAATATCATAATGGTTTGAAAGAAATATTTCCTCAGAAGCAAAAAAATTATTGGATTCAATACTTATTCCAAATCTATTTTCTCATTAGAATGTATTATTTAATTATACAACTATTTTATGTATTACTTTTCAAAAACATGACATTGACTTTAAGAAGATGAGAATAGCGGAGAAAATTTTATTAGAATTCAAGAAAATTAGGGCCAATTTTTATGAAGAATTTCATATTTTATATGTTATTGCGATATGGGATCACGAATGGCTGTGAACCGTTAATTGAACGTGGTTAGCTAAGGCCCAACAAACACCCCTTCAAACCCCTATAACAGTGGAGTGTCCAACAAAATTTTCCGGATACAGTGGCCTTAAGAGATCTCAAATTATGGAAAGGGGCCTCATAATCTTTTTTTATAAGGGAATATTAGGCAAAAATGGAAATTTTATTTATTTACTTTAATAAAATCAAATATGTAATAATATTAATTGTCCTTTTTTATTTACAAATTTAATAAATGAGGGTTATATTTGAAATAATCTAGTTACTAGTCCGATACAGGAAAGGTTATCGCAAGTATAAAATGAGTTATTACTAGATTTATTAAACGATCAAATAACACACTAGACAATTGAATAAATATTATTTGGAATTTTAGGTGAAATTTGATCAAGAGCATTCATAAAAAAAATCTTCTTTTAAAATAGCCATTATTTTTAAAAATCTTCCATGATCAAAATTTTTAAAGAATTTTTTATTTTTGAGAAAATATTAAACTCATATTTTAAATGATATTTTCAAATTGGTAAACGTTTTTTTGCGTTTTATAATATTTAAAAAAACGCAAAATAGTTTTCATTTAATGTTTTATTTATTTTAACATTATTTTATCACATATTGCACACTTTTTCTAGTAATATTATATTAAACCTGTCTGCTTCTAAAAATATGTAACCCAGCCAAAAACCTGCAATAAGAGGACTTAAAGTTTTGAAATCTATGGAAAACCGAACTAAAAGTCACCCACCCCCCAAAATTCTGGCTATGACTGCGATTTAAAAATGATGCGTTAATTTTTTTTGTAGATATATATTGCAAAGAACCAATCTTTATTTTGAACTATTAGATTGTTTGAAAAAAATTCGGAATAATATTATGGCGATAGTATTTTTAAAAAAATTTATATCAAACTGTCACATCGGTAGTGACAGCTAACAAATATCGTGTCATAATTTTCAAAGTATCAGTGTATTTAAAATAAAATGTTTAAAATTGACAAACATAAATCCAAAATTAATCTTAGCCATACATTTACTAATGAGAATGAAGTATTGGACATGGGTTGTGATGAAGAGGCATTATTAGAAAAATTGGTATTAGGAAAATCTTTAGTTAAAAAAAGAGTTAATAATTAATTTTATATCACTTACAAGATGAATATTAGTTCTTTGATGATGGAGAATTAGACATTGAAGAAGATAAAAACTTTGAATTTAATAAAGAGGAAACAAATAAAGTACCAGCTTGGGAGGATCCTGATGATGCACAAGAGTTTATTTTATTAAAAATTATATTTGAATATCATTTGATATAGAATTAATGTAAATAGTAAAAATTTTGGAATTGCAAGGCCTCAAGAGAAAAATATCCCTGGAATGAAATATAATCAGCAAATTAAAAAAAGGTAATAAATATAAATAAGGAGTTACTATTTTTTTAAAGATATCAAAAATCTATGGCTCATAACACTGATTGGGTTACAAAAAAGCATGATATACAAGATGAATTTGAAGGTAATGTCTATCATTATGTTCTATATTCATAATCTTATTAAGATTTAGAATTTAGTCATCAGGCTTATGATTATATTGCAAAGGGTGAAACAGGGGATCCAATTGCTGATTCCTTAAATGATTCCAATCTGTTAAAATATAAATGGCTGAGAAATTTAAAAAATTATAGACCATCAATAGATTCAGATCCTATAGAGCAAAACTCAGATAAAAGTCCCACATTTAATTTTAAAATGAATATTGACAGAGCTAGAATAACCAGCCTAAAATTTCACTCAAAATATCAAGTTTTGCTATCATCAAATATCAATGGTCTATTTAGATTGAATCAGGTTATTGTCATTAATTTTTTTCATATATATTGATGCCATTTATCTTTACTGATGTTCAAGGAAAGGTATTGGGGATCCTACCAATACTACCAACTAGTGTGGTTAATTAGTTGAGCTAAACCATATTGCCTATATGATTATGAGAATTTATTGTAAAATATTGCCAATTTTTTCTCCCTTCTAACCCACATATTTTTGACTGATCTGATCTAATATCAAACCTATTCAAATGCTAATTAATTTTTATTTACCATCTATCAAGCAATGCCATAAGAGTTCAATATTTCATAATTAATGTAAATATTGACCCCATCCAATATTTTTTTAAAAAAAGTTAGTATCAGCACAGCCCAAAATTTTATCAAATGTGGAATAATATAATGGTTTTTTAATAAATATATTTTTTTATATTATCCATTAAATATTAATTATAGAAAAGCCAATTTTTTGCCAAAAAATATTAAAATTGTTTTTAAACTTATAAACTCAATAAAGAAGGAGGTATGAAATGAATCATAAAAAAATTATAGCTTTCTGTAATCGGCCTTATATTTGGTATATATACACCTCCATATAATATCATTACTTTTTGTAAGATAAATCTCACAATGTTTTTAAAATTTAATGAACCATCATTCATAGATTGATGGAAAAGGTAACAAAGAACTACAAAGAATAGAGCTTGAAAATTTTGCAATATCTGGCTGTGATTTTATTACTCCTGAAAAAGATCAAATATTATTTGTGGGATCCAATGTACGCTACTTACACACTTTTGATCTATTAAGTGGCAAAATATCAAAAATATCATTAAAAAGTTTGTTAGATTACATTTGTACTAAATATACTTAAATTATATATATTTAAATTTTTTAAAAATTAACTTTTGAAATATATGCATAAAAGCTAAATATACCTCAGTCAATCCCAGATTTTGTCAGATGTCTCAGGATGGTCAATACATTGCATTATATGCACACCAGTCTGGCAAAATATCTCTTTTATCTCAGAAGGTTTGTACACTCATTAAATCAAAATATATGTTGAAATAATCTTGTGATTAAATCCTTACAATTTTTAAACTAGATTTTTTTTAATTCGAGTTTGAAACTGAAACCCTTAGAACTGCGTTAAATCAAAAACCATATTATTTTTTTCCCAAAATCAATCTAATTATCAGGGATCCAAACTGAACCGAACCACTAAAAACTGGTATTTTTTATCGAACTTAAACCGAACCTAAACCACTAATAAATTTCTAGCCAAACCTGAATGAACCGCTAAAATACCTCTGAACCGGTTTGAGTCTCATAATTTTATGCTTATAAAATAATGTGTAAGTTGATATCATACTGGCATTGCCAGCTACCCAAGTTAGTGTGGAAAGATGTTTTTCAACAATTAAATTTTATCTCCTTATAGATGTAATTCGAGTGAGACGAATTTTGAAAATATATTAATTGTGCGGCTTAATAAAAAAAATTTAAGTAATTGTTCATATTAAAATTATTCATTGATATATTTATTTGTTATATTTATAAATTATATATTATTTTATAATATGCAATTAATAAAAATGAAGGTTTTTATTTTAATTATGTAATAAAAAAAAAATTCCTTATACATAATCCTAAAGTAGGTTTGAATACAAGAGTGTTCAAACCGGTTTTTAGAGGTTCGAACCGAACCGATATTTTTATTTTTGCGAACCCAACCTGAACCTTGAACCGTTATTTTTATTCGAACCTGAACCGAACCGATATTCGTTTCGGTTTGATCCCTGGTAATTATAATTTTTTTTCTACATATAATTAATCATTTGTAATAAATTTATGAATAAATTTTCGATAATATTGTAGTAATTTTTTACATGATTAACCTCAAAGTTTTTGGAAGTGACGCTTCATAGAAACTAATTTATTTATTTCTAAATTGTTATATCTAAAATTCATGCATATCACATTTCTTTTTTCAATTGAATACATATATTTAGTCAAAGGAATTCTTGCATAACTTTTACACAACAAGTTCGAATACCAGAGCAGTGCTATTCTCACCCGATTCAAGATATTTATTAGCCATATCTGGTTTATTTTTTTATCATTTTCATCAACATATTTAAAATTCATGATTGTACATAAAATAAAATTATAAATGTCGTGTTTGAAATTATAATTTTTATCATAAAATACATTATTTGAATCAATTTATATGTCTTAAATTAAACTTATAAAAACCAAGTTGCTCTACTAAATGCGGACGAAAAATATAACAGATTGTTGTTTAAAGTAATGACTAAATTTTACATACAATATAAAGTTAATTGATAAACGATTGATTCAAAACCTATATACTCATCTTTATTATTTTCCGTAATAGAGAACTGAACCTTCTTGAATCATGACCTAAGCTAAAGTGCAGCCTTTACATAAAATGGTTTTGGCCCCTGATTGTGATAATTTGATGAATATTATTTTTTTTTAAATAAATGCTTAATTTATCTCATTTAGAAATTGTTCAGCAAAAACAGACTAAGAAAATATTAATTTTTTAAAAAAATTATTAGAAATGGGAGAAATATCTGCTTGGGATCTATACTACTTTCGGAACTCTAAATGTTCGCTTTTTAATGTAAATCTCATGTCATTTAGCGACAAAGGCAATTACCAAGCCACTGTTTTGGATCTAACTGCGGATGGAAAATACTTATTCACAGGGTTTGTTTTAATTATATTTTTTAAGCAGTTTAGAAAGGTACCATTTTAATTGGTCAGCCAACTTGACAATTTGAGACATTTTTTTGCAAATGACCTATAACAAAACATTTTAAATTTAACATAAATACTTCGTGTTGTTAAACCATTCAGTTTGAGTCCATTTTAAAAAAACGGTTAACTCAATATTTTATGTGCCTAAGCCTCGAGATTTCGCTAATAGTTGTCTAAACCTTGGTATCATAGGCGCGAAAACCGAATCAAATAATGAGTTAGCCATTTTCAAATTGGTTCAAGTCGAGCCATTTAACGACACTATAAATACTCATCATAGCTATGTATTATTTTATAGAAATCACTAACTTCTATCAATTTTATAAGAGTGCTAACCATTTTAAAAGAGAACTATATCACCTGACATAAATAAAAAAACTATATTTAAAGTTAGTTTTTTTTTATATAGTTTAACAGTTAGCCTTCACACTAACTTAATTTAAGTGTAGATATTTAGATTTTTTTAAGAAAGTATAAACTTTTTTATACAGAAGTCATAGTGGTGTAATCAACGTTTACGACATAAATTCGTCTTTTTCGACTATCGGTATGAGTAAATTAGAACCGGTATTCGTTAAAAGTCTCAAAAATATATCAACGCCTATTACGCTACTCAAATCGAATCCGCAATCGCAATTACTCTTGGCCGCATCTAATTATAAGCAGGATTGTGTGAAAATGGTTTTTTTCCCTTGTATTAAATGATGTGTTATAATATAATACAATATAAAACATACGAAATACTGAATGCCAAAGAACAAATATTTTCTTCTAGTTTTAGGATAAAGATCACTAAATTACGGAATAAAATCATATTTATTAAATTTGATATTGAATTTTGGGACTAGATATTGAAATATTATTTTTTTGTGACTTATCGATTAAATTTATTATTTTTTAATAATCACAGGGGGGGGAGGGCGTTTGAACAGCTTTTCATATATCAAGTTTTAGGGCTTTCATATATTAATTTATAGAAAAAAATGAATGTATCTAATATTTTATGTCATTTAGTTTAAAACATGCTTTACGTATTTATGGGTTCCAGATTTTTGTTTGATTATTTTATCGTTCTCCCATACATTGTATATATTTTAAGAAATCAGTGTTTATTTTTTGACTATTAATTTTTAGACAATTTATGATAACCTAATTAATATAATTTGTATTGGGGTTTTAATTTATTTATTTTAATAAATCGTTATTATAGGTGAACTTGCAAAATCTCTCAGTTTATTCAAATTTTCCAACGGCACCCAAAAAGAGTAGACTTAAAGATGACCAAACTACCCTTCATACTTATTTGAATAAAGTCAATGCATCCGACTTCTCCCCTTCCTCGGGCTATATAGCCATCGGATCCGATAAAGGAGACATTAATTTATACAGGTTTTTTAAAACAAAATTTTAAGACTGTTAAGATGATATTTTTGATTTGGTTAAATATATTTGTTTAAAACTTTCTAAATTGTTGAATACTTGTAAGATAAAATTGTAAGAAAATGAATAAATTATCCTAGTTATGAAATCGATTTTTATTAAGGATTATTAATTTTTTTTAAAAAGGTGAAAAAAGTTATTAATTTAAAAGCATTTATATATATTTAATACTTTTTCTATCTGGCGCTCTTAGAAAAATAGTTATTTTTGAATCCAAATGGCTACTGCCTGTTACGATTAGTGTTCTTAAATGGCTCGATTAAAAACGGCTAACCCAATATTTTAGCCAAAAATATTAACGCAAGCCAGGAGAATTTTCCTATAGGTGACTGAAAGGCTTGATTATCTACTAATGATTATTTTGGCTAAAATCTTAATTTAAAATCGGTGAAATCGTGCCGCTTAACAACACTAGTTGCTGTTTTATTAATTTGTTGTCTTTTATAACTCGATTTTTAAAAATCTTAATTATAATTTTTTTTAAAAAAACATTTACCTTTCAGATTGAAAGCATATGGCCAATATTGAAAAAGGAACATATTTTCTCATTAGGTAAATATGACAAGATATCTTAAATATATCGAAAAAGAAAATGGCGATGAATGAATGTGTTTACCAAATGTGAATAAAAAAATATATTAGTGAGTCAGCTGTGTCATAGCTCTTCATTTTAGAAATTTTAATATTCTTAAATAGCTGGGTGAATATATGATTTTAATAATTAAAAAAAGAAAGAAAACACACACCTTTAGTCTTTGGGATGTAAGGTAGGAAAAAAAATAACGCTAATGGTTATATAAACCATAGCTCATTTCACCTTCATTTTAAAATTGTTTCAAATGTCTATATTAAGCTTTGATATTTTAAAAATGGTGCATTCTGCACATATAAAAATAATTAGATGGTTTAAATATGACATTTTTTCAATTTTTTTACAAAAGTGATTTTTTAAAATATCTTTAGCTCTTGGTCAAATAGTATAAATTATTTATAATTAAATATTATAAGTCAATAAGTTTTTTGGAATACTTCGTCGTTATTTATGAATATTTATTTGGCCTAATTAGTATATTTAAGAAGTGTATCGAATAATATTCCAATTGTTTTAACTTTTGTTAACGTAAATTTTATTATTGGAGAAAATTATTTTTTAGTTGCATAAAATGATCTTACTAACCCCAGAATTAATTTGCATCAGTAGAACTTCCTCGTCAGCATTTCAATTAGTTTCGGAAAGTAAATATTATATGACATCTACCATATCGTATCATATACTGGGGAGACTATCCTACAATTAAGTGGGCACTCCACCGCACTTAGGGGGCGGATCCAATGCAGTGGTTTAATGTCCATTTAATTACTAAAAGATGTGTTTATTTTTATAGTGAATTTTGTGGGAGGTAATTAGTTTCTTTTTTGTATTCTGAGGTTACTTTGGGATGAATTCTAAAAGCCGATAAAATATTAAAGTGGATAAAAAAATAACTGTTGATTGTGCTTAATTAGCCTTGTGTTTGCCCTATTTTTTGTCATTAAGTTTAATGGTTCTTTTTACCATTTTACAAAAGCAGATGATAATCAAATCACCAGATTTAAGATTATACCATATTTTATATGGTAACCTCAATGACGAGGCGTGAAGTTTACAACTATTGTATTACAAGGATCATAGTGTATTTGTAACATATTATAAGCATATTGTCTGAGTAATACAATTTTTTATATTTGTTACCAATTTGACCATTAATTAAGTTCAAAGAGCAGATCGAACTAGATAAGCTTATGGATTATTATTAAATCCACTCCAGAAATTTTAACTCCAAGTGGTCTTGTGTAAGCTAAGAAAAAGCCTTCAACAAATGTTATTATTTTATAGTAATTGATAAGCTTAAGTTATAATTTAAATATAATATTCATTTTTGGTTTTACCCCAATAATAATTCCTTCTCAAGTTCAATACTTGGCATGGGAAATATTAACCCGTTAGCACTTATAATATTTTGGCAGTCTTATAAACTTACTCACCTGTTAGTTTTAGAAATTTTAAAGTTTTAATGCATTTTAAAATGCAATTCATATTTTAGAATAGAATTTTTTAATAACAGGGCTTTAAATCCTTTCCCAAGAAAATTTCTTTTATTAAGATAATCAAACATTCTATAAGATTGTTTATTGATCAGTCTTATTATTTATACTGATCTACCATCAATATATAGTTAATTTTAGTATCACAATTGTGAAAGTCAGGAATGTCTTGTTGAGTATAAACTAGACTTTTGGCAATGGGCACTAAAAATAAAAAGTTCAAGTTATAACTTTAAAAAAAATTCAATATATTGAGATATATTATCAAACTTTCATTTTTTTTGTATGTGGAATTCATATGATCTTTACGCAATTTATTAGCATCGGTTATTCCTTCTAGCATTTGTAGTTTGTGTAAATTCTCTATATCCAATCTATTAAATATAAATTCAAAATAAATAGTTAGGCAAATTTAATATAGCCATATCTCCAGTTGAATCATTTATTAAAATTTCCTCTTCAGCAGAAAAATTTCTTAATAATTTTAGTAGCATGTATCCATCTTCCAACTTAACTTCCTCTCTTTATAGCACCTGTAAAAGTCTTTCAGCCTATTTTCTATTTTACAAATGAATTCAGATTTCTTAATAAATTTAGTGAGAAGCATTGCTCAATCTATATGAAACAAGAGTTATCTGTACAGCCATAGTCTGTTAATGTAAATCGATAAATAAAAAAAATGGGCAAACTATTTAGTGCTAGCATGGATCCAGATAATATAATATCAAGGAAAGTAATATAATAAGTCAGAAAGATATATATGTAACTTAGATTTTTAATTTCCCTTTAAAAACAGATGGAACTTAGAAGAATAATCCTCAGCTGGCTTGAAATATTTTTAAAAAAAATCAAGGTATGGAGAGAAAACCGAAATTTTTTTAATGCGCGCCGGCTTAAAATTTAAACCAGATCATATCTTTGGTTTAATAGTTAAAAAATAATACAATTTAAATATATATTATTCTTTTAAGTTATATAATACCCACTTATAAAAAACACAGTCTTAATAAAAAGCTATAGAAATTCAGGTTGTATTATAATTTGCCAAAAAAATTTGTCATGGTGGTTTAATATAAATTCTTAAAATAAATCAAGATTTCTCAAAATATTTTGAATTATTTACCTTAGTTTTAGAGGGTGTCACAGTTAGTAGAATTTAGGATAGGAGATTAGAACCATTGTCAAATAATGAAAAATTATAGATTGAATATGTCCTTAGAACATAATGTTTCGGCCAACAAATGTAGTGGTTGAGAGAATTTAGAGAATAAAATAAATAGTATAAATAAATTAACTACTAATACTTTATTAATTAATATAAATAGTAATTACATAATCATAACTAAAATTAAATTAATATAACAAAAATTAAATGATTAAAAATTATGTTCGCAAATTCATAATAATAATTAACAAGTAAAATATCCTCGATTATATACACTTTTCTACCCTGTTCATTTACATCGTCACCACTCAAATAATCTAATAATTGATTTCGTTTTTCTATTTAGCAGTCGACTTGAATATTACTTTTTTTTTCGATTTTATTTCAAAGTAAATTTACATATTACAACAGAGGGCTTCCCTTTCTTCTACGGAATCTTTCATATTTATATAAGGATTGAGAAAAATTAGATCAGTTTTCCGGAGCTAATTTTCTGGTATTCTATAAAATTATATTATATTCGACAAATAACAAAAAAAATTTCACATCTCTAATTCTTTAAATAAATTGGGATCAGGCTCGGATTCATTTTTTAACCGGAAGATTAATTAGTTTCAACCTAAAAATAAGTAAAAATTTATCTCTATATTCTCCTATTTGTTCATTAGAACATGTTATTATAGACTTATAAACAGAACTATAGGCATAGCCATAATTTTTTGTGGGAGGTGGGGGAGGGTTGGCAGTACTAGTAGATTTGGTTTTCCTTAAATTTTATTTCAGATCTTTAAGATTACCAATTGTAGGCTTTTTATGTTAAATTTTTTAAATACTAGCTATTTTTCACTCTTTATTCTATAATAAGGCTTTTATACCAAAATAAATGTACATAATATTTTCAAGATTCATGTATGTAATGAAAAACAAATGAAATTTATACTAAATAACATGCTCATTTCAACCCAAAATTTATAATCACATATTATACTCTTAATGAAAAAATGATAATGGCAAAAAAAAAATTATTTTAAGAGAGTAGGAATTTATAAACATACATTATTATAAAGTGCCTGCTTTCCAATTAAAAAGATGTAAAATATTTGCTAGAAATAAAGTTGTCAAATCATTTAGTCTAATGGTCCGATCACATACTGGTTAAAATTTTAAAATTTTACTAAGGTTTTTTACTATTTCCGGGTTTTGTATAATTTAATGATAATTATATATTTTTTTATGAACTCAGAATAATTATTTTATTAAAATATTAAAAGTTTATAATAAAACTAATAGAATATATGTTATATTTCTTAATTTTAGTATAAAGCATTGATAAAGATAATAAATCAAGTAATATAATATAGCCACACCCAGAGTTGGGCAGGTCCTCCAGAAAAAGAATCTAGATACAGATGCAGATTCTTTATAAAAAATGAATCTTAGATATAGATACTAGTATCTTTTTCAAAATTTCAAAAAGATACAAGATAAAAGATACTCGTATCTTTTACTAAATTAGAGTATCTTAAATACAAGATACTTTTAAATTAAAATTATCATTACTAATTAAATTAGAATAGCTTATAAAATACAGTTTTTATTATTTGTGTTTGTGAAGAACATAGCATACACATATAAGAATAAATATTTGCAATAATTAATAAAATATTTATTAATGAAGTAATTATAATAACCAGGGATTTTAATATTAGTTTTTGCTTATTAATAGTTTAAACAGGGAAGGGAGAGTAATATATTTAATGGGAGTTGAAAATTTGCAAATAGGAAGAAAATATAAATCAAATGATTTATTTGAATTTGCAGGTTATTTTCTGTGTTGTTTTAAATATAGCTTATATTCGGAGTATATGGCTAAATGGCATATCTAAAAAAAATATACTAGTTTTATTTTATTCATTATCTTTAATAAGTAACTTGTTTGTGATATTTATGTATCTTGTAAAATTAGTTTATTTTCCATTATTATGACTAATTAATTCTTGCGTCTGTAATATCATACATATAAATATTATTTAAATCTCTTTTCAAAATATTTTTATATATTTCTTACAAAATCATTAATTATATATAAAAAATATGAAAATAATGTACAACATTTTATTATAATTATTAAATACATAACAATTTCCTTTAATGCATTTAAAATTGATTAAATTTTGTAAATAAATACTGTAATGTAATTTTTATATCATAAATATATAAAAGTAACTAATAAAGTTAAATTCTACCTCATTATAATTATTTTATTAAAAGCCCTTTAAAATTATCTAATTTTATATATCAATTGTACCTTAAATATTTCCTCTAATAAGAACTTGCTAAAATAATTATATAAAAAATATATTAATGATGTGCCGATATTTTTTATCGGATCGGATCGGGCCGATTTCACCCATTTTAAAATATTGTTTATCGGCCAATATTATAAAATTTGATCCGATATAAAATGGCTTCTTTAACAAAAATAAAATTTTAAAAAAAAGTTATATCTAAGATTTATTTATAGAAATAAAATCGAAATCCATTTTTATGTATATTTTTTTAATAATAATAATTAATAATAAACATTCTGCCATATTTTTATTTTTTTTGCTCATTCTGTTAAAGTGTGCGATATTCTCTTCAGAATCTGTTTTTAGTGAAGCAGGCGATATTGACAGTTACTATCGCCGCAAGCTGACCTATGATAAATTGGAAATATTGGTATTTCTAAAAAGAAATCTTCGATATATTAATGTTAAATATTATTAAAAATATTTATTTCAAATTATAATATAATTGTTTATTACTTATTATGTATATAGATTAATGTTATTATCTATTATATAAAAGTGATTTAACAATAAAAATATTTTATATACTTTTAGAATTGCAATTGAATTGAATATAAACATTAACTATAACTGATCATTATAATATATTTAAATGACATAAGTTATGGTATAGTTAAATTAAAGATGTTATAATAATAAAAAGAAAAATTAAAACCATTGGTATCTTTACAGAATACATTAGATATGATATCGGATCGGTAATCGGCCAATATCAATTTAATATCGGGAATATCGGATCGGCCTCCAAAAAGTGGTATCGATACATCCCTGAAAAATATATATCCAAAATGATTTTAATTTGATAATCAACAATCTTCTATAAAAAATTTTAATAAATTATCTAAGAGGGACTTAAGTGTAGGTATTATTATGTTAATAATTATAAAATAAAAATGTATAATATACTTTAATATGTTTAACAAAGTTTGTAGAGGAGTTTGTTGAATCTTTAATAACTTTTTTACTTTGCAATTTTGACATTCAGCTTGTACCTTGTTCTTTTTCACATGAATTTTCCATCTAGAATTTTAAGATTCAGATTTGATTCAGGAGAACCTATCTCCATAATTTCATCTTCACTACTATGATTGTTAAACATTGTACAAATTAAAAAATATTACATATAAAATATATCCTTCTCTTATTTAGTTTTGGAGTTATTATTTTTAATCTATCTATCTTTGTGACCTGCAAAATTCTAACTAATTTTGGTTATCAATATATTTAAAATATAGTGGGAAAAAATAAAGAAAATAATACAAGATTTCACGAAGAAAATAAAGTTACATTGTGTGATATGTAAATGTTTTAAACATGAATATTAAAAAGAATCTGTATCTGTATCTTTTTAAAGAAAATGAAAAAGATACAAGATACTTTTCAAAATAAAGGATCTTAGATACAGATACTAGTATCTTATTAAAAATGTCAATAAGATACTAAGTACAAGATACAAAAGGATCTTGTATCTTGTATCTTGTATCTTAGATACAATTATTCGTGGTACTGCCCAACTCTGGCCACACCATATAAATTTGTGAAATTCTAAGATTCCTTATTTCTGTGCACTGACTACATTATTACAAAATTGTCGCAAAAAAATTTAAATTAAACAGTAACAAAAATATTATAATATTTTGTCGATTTGGAACAAAAATCACATTTTTTTTACAGCTGAGCTTTAATATAATTTTTATGAAATTATGAATTTTATTAAATTCAGATCTATAATATTTGCCCAAATTAGTAAGATTATTAATAATATAAATTTAATTAATAATATATATTATCAGGGCATAAGCATTTAACTTTGAATGTTAAAGAAGGTGTTGGAGTTATCAAATTTGATTCTCCAGGGACAAGAGTAATGAATTTATTTATTTTCTAAAATCTTTATTTTATAATAGGTCAATACATTATCGAAAGAACTTATGGGAGAGTTTAATGATATTATCACTAAATTCAACAACTCAGAAGAGATAAAAGCTGGTGTTATTATATCAGGAAAGCCAGATAATTTCATAGCTGGAGCAGATATTGGGTTTGCAAATATTAAAATAAATTATGTTTATATATATTTTAGTATGATAGCAGAATGTAAAACACAAAAAGCAGCCCAAGAATTATGCCAATCTGGCCAAGAAATGATTAATAAAATTGCTAAGAGTAAAAAACCTATAGTTGCTGCCATAATGGGATCATGTTTAGGTGGAGGAAATGAAGTAAATATTAAATATTACTTTTTATTATAATTGGATAATTTTGTTTTTATATTACCAAATGAGTTTATTGTTTTGTTATTTTATATAAATAGTCATTAATAAATTATTTATTAAATTAATATAATTAATATTAAAGTTAGCATTAGCATGCCATTATAGAATAGCTGTGAAGGAAAAGTCTACTTTAGGGCAACCTGAAGTTATGATTGGTTTGCTACCAGCAGCTGGAGCCTGTGTTAGATTAACAAAATTGGTAATATATATAGTTTATTAATAAATCATTTTATAAGGTAAATATCTCTTTTTGAATTTTTTAAAAAGATTATACTTTTATTATTACCTAAAATGGTTAATAATAGTTTATATAGATACTAATACCCTAAATCATATTAGATTGCCAAACAAAATATTTCAACTAACAATTTAAAAAGCAAAATTTACCACATTAAAATACTTTAATTTAACCAAAAATTTTGAGATGAGATAGTATTTGATAAAAATGAATGCCATAAGTGTTCAAGCCAAATCAAAATACATCTAAGCTGGGCTGGGCAAAAAAAATTTTAAGAATGGGCAGGTGGGTAAGTGGGTTAAAAATTTAAACAATGGGCAGGTGGGCTAAAAAAAATTCAAAATCATTTAGTAAATATTAATAAAAAAATGGTTCTTGTGAACTTTTTGGATATTAAATATTAAAATGTCCTTTTTTGGTATCATAAAACTCTTTTGTGTATTTAAAACTACTTGGTCGAAATAACAAGAAAGAGATTTGCCAAAGCTATCAAGATTAGTAAGAAAATATTGGTAATTCCTTCAATGTGCTTTTTCTGAACCAGAATTTAGCATTGCTGGAAGGTTTTTAAAACAAAGAAGAACGTGTTTGAATCCAGAAAATGTCGATTTATTATTATTTATGCATTATAATACATATAATATCTTTATATTTATATTTCTTCATAAGTATTTTATTAGATAAATAAATTATCCATAATTTAAATTGAATATTTTTTTTATGCTTAATATAGTAATTTCCATAATTATAAAACTTCTCGTAGAGGTGTAATGCTTAAATATTTTTATTAGATGCTTAAAAAATTGAAAGAATGGCTGTAATTAAATTTTACAATAGTAGGCTTGGGTTAAATTTTTTTTATAAATAATGGATGGGCTATTAAATTTTAGAATGGGCTGGTGGATAAGGAATTTTAGACTAATTGGCTGGCTGGTATATATTTTTTTGAAAACTATGGGCAGGGCGGGCAGGTTAAATTTTTTTAAAATAATGGGTGAGGGGCTTATGTATGGTTCAAAAACCCGCCTTAGATTTCTTTAGAAATTTTTTTCAAGTACTTGACTTTTTTAGGCATTTTCTGTTTGGATTTAAATAGGGGCTTGGTGCAGGCCATTCCAAATAAAAATGATTGCCATCTAATTTGATTTAGGATATCACATAGAATTTTAATTAAATGAATAGCAAAAATAACCTTCAGAATCTAACCTTTTGATTGGGAAGAAACACTTTATAACATAAAACCAATAAAATTCAATACATTTAGATTCCATTCCCAAAAGCTATGGATATGCTACTGACTGGCAGGTCTGTCACAGCTCAACAAGCTAAAAAATTAAGACTGGTGGATTTACTTGTTGATCCTCTTGGTAAGATTTAATTTTTTTTTTTTAAAAATGCATGGAAATTAGACTATTAAATACCAAAATATTTGCCAGAATGACTATAGAATAACTCCAATCAAATGAACAACTCTTATTTATTTTGATGATTAGGTCACATTTTTTTGTAAATGAAATTTAATTTATATTCTTTTCAATTACTATAGTAGGATAAAGTGTTATAATTTCTAAATCAGTGACGTTGCTAGCATTTATCAGTTAGGTAGGCATCACATTTACAAAAATGTATTAAGAGTTGGCTTCGGAAACCTTTATAAAATTTTAACGGGGCATTCTGATACCTATTATAATATAAACCCGGCCCTAAAATATTCTCTAAAATTGTTTTTTTTTATATCCAGCATCTATGCTTATATTTTAATTTCACACAATTTTTTTAACAAATATAAGGGCCCGGTATAAAATCTCCAAACGACAGAACGATGGAATATCTGGAAGAAATTGCTATTAAAGCTGCTAAGTATCTAATTAATAAAAACCATTCATTATTTATAAAATATTTGCATTAATTTTTTCATTGTATGGTTTCGCTAGTGTTGATAAACGGCTCTATATGGTCCTATCTGGAAAAAAATTACGCAAACCTGAATATTTTGCCTATAGATTGACCGAAGGTTTAAACATCTATTACCAAAATCTCGAGGCTTGGGCAATAATTTTCTGGCTAAAATATTGAGTTAACCGTTTTTAAAAATCGGTTCAAATCGAGCCGTTTAACAACACTAGGTTTTCACATGGTTTTTCATATAAATTTATATTTTTTTAAAAAAATTCATTGATAAAATCATGATAAGGAATTATTTAATCATATCATTAAGGAACTGATTTTTTAAAAAAATAGAATAGTCATCATTTAAAATAATATTATTAATATGAACTTTTTATTGGGTTCGAGATTAGTAACCCATTCATAAAATTAAAATAACTACAATCCGTTTATAGGGGGGAGGGGATGTTATGAGATAAAAAGTTAATTAAATAAAGTTGAAAAGTATAATATAAGAAATAGAAAACGGAAGGAAGGAATGGAGGAAAGAAGATATAAAGTGAGAAGGAAAACTTGAGGGGATAAATGAAAATTAGGAATCGAGGAGAATAATTGAATACCTTGAATTTAATTATCCCAAAATTCTTTTTCATTATTCAAGAGATTTGGTCACTCAAAAAACCCCACAAAAAAGAAATTTATCCCTCATCGAAAGTACTATCAAATTGTATTTAAATATTTAATAGCTATATAATAGTGCTGTAAACATTTTTAAAAAAATCGAACGCGTTCAACGTTCATTGACAAAATTCGAACGCGTTCACGTTCTAATTCAAAAAAAGGAACGCGTTCAAGTTCGTGAACGCGTTCATGCGTTCAAAATTTTATGATAAATTTTTTTTTAAATTTAATTTAATATAAATAAATGCCTTATATTTTTCAACCCAATATATTAGCCATGATAAAAAATAATAGTTTTATTTTGATAATATAATTATAAATACAATATAATAGAGCGATAAAAAAATAAATTTATAAAAAAATTTTCTTATTAATTTTTAATAATAATTGCTTTTCAAAATTTTCATCTGATAGGCATGAACGCTTGGCACTTAATACAGCGTTAGCTATACTAAAAACTCGCTCAACAGGGGCAGATGAAGGGATTGCGGTGTTATACTTGATAAACAATTCTTTTAAAAGGGGGAATTTATTAAAAACATTTAATGTTTTATCCATTGTCTCAAAAAATTGAGCTATGTTATCATCCTCCAATCTGCCCTCTTCTTCCTCGTCAAAAAAAAAGGATATCTCGGAATTGATTTTAAAACAGTGAAATATTTTTGATAGGGCCATGGTAATTCTAATTCATCTAATATTGAATTTTTATTTTCAGAATCTGATGATGAAATATTTATATCCTTGCAAATCCTAATCTATTAAATTAAAATATAAAATATTCAAATTAATAAACTTTAATATTATCTTCTCTAGCAGTAGCACGTTATGGTACGTTAATTGCAATATGAAAGAGGAAAAAGTAAAAACAGCTGATTAAAAAATATAAGACTTTTTTGTTAAAAAATTGGATTAAATATTAATTTTTCAAATAAATAAAAATATAAGACTTTTTTGTTAAAAAATGCGGATTAATATTAATTTTTCAAATAAATAAAAATCAAAAGTGTTTTTAAAATTGAACGAACGTAAAATTGAACGCGTTCATCAAAGAAAAGGAACGCGTTCACGTTCAAAGTTCGTCAAAAAAAAGGAACGCCGTTCATCACCTTTTTTCAAAAAACGAACTTCGTTCACGAACGCGTTCATTTTGAACGCGTTCGTTTACAACACTACTATATAATGATAAAATTACTTTATTAAAGATATTTTTTAGATATTCACTTTTTAGAGGATATATTTGTTATTACATTCCTGCATTTACAAAACTGTTCTCTATGGTTATTAGTAAATATCCTAGAAAACAGTTTTGCCTCTCAAAATCTGGCTAAAATAAAGAGACCATTAAAGGTCTTACCTTAGAGAAATATCTGATTCATTGGTTAATATGATATTAATAATATATTTTAATAGAACTAACAAATATGGGTCTCAAAAATGCCTTTTTAAGGAAATTGATTTTCAATCAGATGAAGGATAAAGTGCTGAAACAAACCAAAGGCCACTATCCCGCCCCCTTGTCAGTCTTAGAAGTATTGTCCTATTCTATTTCATATTTTAACAAATCTTTGCAAATTGATTCACAAATTTATTTTAATTTATTTCAATGATTGGCATTTAAAAATAGTTAGAAAGGAAGGGAGAGAAAAAAAATTAAGAAATTATGATTAAATTGATTGATCCTTTTGTGACTCCTAAGGTTTTTAGAATTTCAAAGCATGCACCCTGGCCTATTTCTCAAAGTTGAATTATGGTTTTTTTTTGTTGTCAAGATTAGACCAAGAGGGGAAAAAAATGCTAAATCATTCAGTATATCCTAAAGGATTAATTAGGTAATTGTTCCCTTTATACTTATCAAATAAAGTGGCATACATTAGAATAAATGGCCAAAGAGTGAAGACTAATTGGAAAATAAAATTCACTGAATTTTTATTTTTATAATATAGGTCGTTCAAACGGTCATAGAGCACGGGGACGAAGCAGGATTTTTGGCGGAGGCGCAAGTTTTTATAAATAAAATATATCATATTTCTCCCATTTAAAAAAAATAAATTTGAATCACCATTTTATATATTTTGGAATATGTAATGATTTGTATTATTATTAATATTATTTAAAACCATAGACATTGCCTGCTTATTATCTTTTAAATTCTGCTTTACGCTAAATTTTTATATATTTTGATGCTTAAAATAGAATTTTTTTTAGATTTTGAAGGATCAATGATTTTCATTGAAGTGCAAATTCATTATATTTAAAAAATAATTAATGCAAAGGCATTCGGTAAAATGGCTATGACATCCCAGTGCAAATCCCTCATAGGACTTTACAACGGACAAGTGGCTTGCAAGAAAAATTTATATGGTACCCCTAAACACCAAATTAAGTTTTGCTCAATTTTTAATTTGAACGTATTTTTAAATGCAAACGATAATTTTCGGAGTGTAATATTCTCGTTTCGTTATTCATTGTAAGTTATAAGAATTTTAATAACACACTTTAATTTAATATTTTTAATAAATGTAAATGCTATTTAAAATAAAGGTAGAATCCCCCCCCCCTTTATTATATCAGATCCTTACTTTTTATTTTTGTTACCCATTTAAATTTTAATAATGAGGGTACCATTTATTTATTTGATATTTAGGGATTTATCAATATCTTTTATCGGATCCTATCGGACCTATTATTCACCTTTTTTAAAATATTGGATATCGGTCATATTATATTTCCTGATACGATCCGATAAAATGGTCTTTAAAAAATTTCTAGCTGGTTTTATTACCAATTCAGCGCATTACAGAAGTCGGTGGAGGAAATGCATCAATTGATATGTTATTCCATTCATAGAATTTAAAAAAGAGTTTGCTAATCATGATGAGAATGATACAGGTGTTTAGGCTCTGAAGGATGCGATGTATAAAAATCACCATATGTTTTTCTTATGAAATAATTTATTTTCTATATAAATAATTTTGGATCCCCTCTTCAAAACACTTTTTTAGATTCAATCATTACTTTATAGATAAAAACTACTTCTAGAATGCACTAACATCAACTTTTAAATTAATTTGTCCAGTTTATATAAAAATGAATATTAAATTTATATTATTTTTTTTATTATTTATATAGTGTAGAAAATCAAAACATGGAGATGGAGAAATTCCATCATTATCAGCTACCAATTCATCTGGCATATTTAGTTTGTGTGAAAATTATATCAAGGAACCAATATTTAAAGCAATAAAAGATAATACTCCAGTGGATTCTTTAAAATATTAGGCTGTTAACTGCCATAAGTATCTCACTTTTTCTAAACTTCTTTATCAATATCAAGCAACACCACCTATCAGAATCTGTTTTTAGTGAAGCTGGGGATATTGAAACAGAATCTGTTTTTAGTGAAGCTGGGGATATTGACAGTTCCCATTCTGATTAACTAGAAATTTTGGTATTTCTGAAAAGAAATCTTTGATATATTAATTTTAATATTTATTTAAAATTTCTTAGTATATTTGTTTAATTAATATACAAATAAATGACTGTATTTGTAATGCTATTATTATATAAATAAATGATTTATTAATAAAAGTAGCTTTTACACATTTAAAAATTAAATATGTATAAAGAACACAGGATCGGTAATCGGCCGGTATACATTTAATATCGGATCGGATAGAATCGGACTTAAAAATAGTATCGGTTCGGTATATCCGATATTATTATTTCATTCAATACCAGAAAGATCTAAAATGACATTGTACTGCTTTTCTTAAACGCATATATATATATGAGCTTGTTTTGGAATGTTATAAAAAAATATACTTGATCCCAGCCATAGTGATGATTAAAGAAATACAATTATTCTTCTATCTAAAAGGTATTTCACTTTATGCTAAATTAAAATATCTTCCTTCTATGAACAATTCCATTTGAATTCTGTCATTTTGTAGTAAATGATCCAGACCAGAATTTATCAAGGGAAACGTTAGTTGTTATGCCAACTATCTTTAATTTTTTTAAAAATATGTTTTTATTTGTATATATTATATAATATTTTTTAAATAAAGCATAATTCTTTTTAAAAACCAGGAATGTAGGTGTTATAGGATCTGGTCTCATGGGGGCTGGGATTGCTCAGGTTACTTTACTCAAAAAGGTTTACAACGTTACGCTTAAAGATGTGAGTACCGAGGCGCTTTTCAAAGGATGGCAACAGATATCGAAATCCCTCAAGACTTCTGTCAAAAAGAAGAAAATTAGCGAGTAAAATCAAATAAAAATGTACAGAAAAGAGAGGAATGGAAAAAAATATGAAAGAAACAAATGGAAAAGGATCACATTAATAAATTATTTTATAATAAGATAAGTATTTTGGGAATGAGCAATTTTTCAAAATGTTGATATATTAATCTAATTGTTAAGATTTGAAAAGGATAAAATGCTAAGCACTCTCAAAAGTACGGTTAGTTACCAAGACCTCAAAAATAGCGATATAGTCATAGAGGCCGTTTTCGAAGACCTAAACCTCAAACATAGGGTCTTGAAGGATCTTGAGCAAGTATTCAATTCATATACAATCAACTTTAAATTATTAATTTTAGTAAACCAATATAAACATAGTTACTAAATTGATATATTTGCTTGTAGCTATGTGGCTTTCATAATTAGACAAGAGATGTATTTACATATTATAATATAGTAACTATTTAACGTTTGATATAATTTGTAGTGATTTGTTTAAAATTTATTTCATTAATGGTATCTTCTACCACCGTTGATAAGCCTTTTTCTAACCCTGGTGCCTCAATCTTTTAAAATAGTGTTTATGAACCTTGGATATCTTATTATATTTTTATTTATGTTTAAATCATGATATTTAGCAAATTTATTAATTTGAAATTTTATAGAATTATGCTATGCCTATAATACAACTGACTACTTTTTGTGGGAATTTTTAACTCCTGAGAAAAAGTTAATAGGGCTAACATGAAATTAATCAAAGTAAAATTTGTATGTACTGAGAGAATAAAATTAATATTTTTTATAATTAAAACTGTATGATTTTTTAGATCATTTTTATTTAAATATTGGCATATCGAAATAATTATAGATAATTTTTCCTTTACTTTTAACAACTAAGATAACTTTTTATAGGATGTTAGAATCATTAAATATCCTGTATTTATGATTATACTCAATTTATAAGATCATACCTAGGATACAATTTATCAATTAAATATGAGTTCAAAATACAGGAAAAAAATGATTAATTAATAATGTTTTATATTCTAAAAAAAACGATATGATTAGTTGTAAACTGTAAGCAAAAAAAAAATTGTCTTTAATTATCTTCGATATGTTAATATTTAAATAAATGTTGATTCTCTTCTCATACATGATTTAAATCACTTTGATTAAAATCATATCTAGCCCATATTAATTTCGTGAACAAATGATAATTTCATCGATATAATAGATTGTTCCCGAACATTGTATAATCGCGACAAACACATCCGCCCTACCTATCCACAAAATCGCGAGCGTTAGCAAAAGACCTGATAAAGTTGAGTATCTTATATAGTGAAACGAATATAAGTTAATTTATCAAAGGAAAGAGGGAAGGGAAAGAAGAGAATGGAGAATTAATTTTTCAAATCATCGTTTGATTTTTAATTATCAGGTTCTAATTTGATTTTTGATTTAAATAGAGGGAGGAAAAACACCTCTAGAAAAATTTTAAAAAATGAATAGGTTTTTTTTAAAAACTTATAATATTACCATCTTGTTATCTTAAAGTGGAGTTAAAACTCTAATAATAATCGCTTGACAAAATCTAAAATTGTATTTTTAAAAGATCTCAAAATGGGGTATTTCGAAATCGTTTACAATGCCCATCTAAAGAAAAATCATTATTTAAAAATATATGATTCACAGGTGATTGGCATGCATTATTTCTCTCCCGTCGACAAAATGATGTTGTTGGAAATCATAACGACCGATAAAACTTCCAAAGATACGATTGGTAAGATTATAATATTGTCATTTATGTCAGAAAGAAAGAAAGAGAGAAAGAGATGGGCTAAGGGGGTGTGGGTGTTTTACTTGTATAAAAAATGCTCATCTTTTCCATTCTGAGGGGGAAAAAAGAAAACTATTTTTTAAATTAATTTATCTTAATCCCTTTCACCGCCAACGTTCATTTAAAAAACTATTGGGAAATTGGCTCGATAAAATTTTGTTCGGGTAATTCTTATTTTGAAGGGTTTGATAATAATTATATATTAAATCAAAGTTATCTCGTTTTTATGCCATTTGATTTCGTTCCAGAAATTTTGTCTTACAATAGATTATTACTTTTAATTTTTACTTCCGATCCAGTTATTTTTGAACAAGATTATATTAATATTTTGATTTTTTTTAAATTTAACCCATAACCAATCGAAAATATAAGGTTAATTTTGTAAATTATGCGAATGCTTTAAAATAAATATAAATTCATAAGTATTTATAAAGGTTTGGTTCTCTCCTTTGAAATTTTATTATAACGGTTCGTGAATATGAAAGTTTTGCAGTTAGGGTTTATTAAACACCTTAATTTTGATTGAGTTCTACTCCTCTCCATATAGCATTTAAAATAGTTTAGTATCGTGTAAATTAAAAGAAATATCACTATAAAATTTTGAAATCACTTTGAAACAGTGTCTTTACCATATTATATATATATTATTTTAATACCTCATGACACAGCGAGTGCTATTAACTTAGGTCTCAAACAAGGCAAGATAGTCATAACGGTAAGAGACGGTCCCGGTTTTTACACGACTCGTATTCTCACGGCCTCGTTAATGGAGATGCTCAAATTACTTAGTGTAATATCGCCTAAAAATATAATTATTTTCCCCGTTCATCTAAAAGGAAGAATAATTTTTTTTTAAGAAAAAATGTAAAAATTTCATCCGATTCACATATAATTTTGTTTGGTAGTTTTTTTATTGGGAAAGCATTGCTATTGTGTTATCCCCCTTTCGCTCTCTTTTCTTACGCAATTATATTAATTAACTTTTCACCTTACCCTCAAAATTCATGCAACAAATATAACATGTTTATTATAATTTTTCTTTACCACGTTAGAGCGAACATCTTACAAATTAAATATTTAAAATAAATACAATTTCTTCTTTTTTTAAAAAAAATAGGCAAATACTCAAGCTTCTTTCCATTTCATCATTTATTGGAATAATTTTATTTTAAAACTTATGTATTTATTTTATTCTTTTTCTCTGTAATTTTTTTTTACGCGCGAATTCCTTAACGAAGGAGGGAGTGGATCCTATACGACTCGACGATGTATCCAAAAAATTTGGCTATCCTTTGGGTGCTGTTTCTCTCACCGACGAAGTAGGCATAGATGTAGCATCTCATATAACCAAGGACCTCAGAGAACCATTGGGTGTTAGGTTCAGCGGTAAAGATAAGCTCGAAAACATGTTGGAAGATTTGGTTAATGCCGGATTTTTGGGTTAAATTTTTCTTTCTTTCCAGTCACACTTTTTTTTAGTAAAGTTACATGCCGATATACAATTCGATGATTTTTATTTATCTCTGTCTTACACTCTTAACCTATATAACCTGTAATATTTTGTTAGGTTGGATATTTTTTTATTAATTTTGGCATGCGCCAGAGTTTTGGTTCGAATCAGGGTAGTGGAGCGAATTATAAACAAGATTTTGTTTTTTTTTTAAATAAACAATCTTAATAACATACAATAAATTGTGATGATGGAAAAATCTCTAACATAGTTTTTAGCCTATAAATCTATTTTTTGTTAACTAATATATTTTTTTGTAGGGCGTAAATCGGGAAAAGGAATTTATATCTATGAGGAAAATAGAGTGTCCGGATCTAAAAGACCCCTTAACCAAGAGGCTCTTAAAATCATCGCCAAATACCAAACCTCTCCCGCGAAAAAGTAAAAAATATAGTAAAAAATATTCGATTAATTATTTCATAAGAATCTTGTTTTTTTTTTGAAAAGATTCATATATTTGTGATCGAAAATAATTGCTTCGATTATTAGCTATATATCTATAAGTTATATTATAACTTATCAATGATAGATTCACTGAGAAATTTGCCTTATTTTGTAAATGGTGGTTTCAAAGGCAAAAGGTTTGGAAAGTGGATGAGCGTTTATTGATAATAATTTAAATTTAATGTATTGTAACCATTTAAAAAGTTGGATAGGCCATTTTTGACTAAGTGTCTGTATCTCTAACCTTTAATATAGAAACTGTCTATATAAAATTATTTTTATGGTACACAAACCATTTGAATCTACAATACCATTCATCTTGAAGATTTTGTTACAGTGTAAGATATCGTATCAATTTTAGAATCTGAATTAAGATAAATAAAGATTTTTATAAATTAGCATACATTATAATTAAAATTTACTTTTTTTGATCATTACTATTTAAAAAAATATCCTAGCATAAGTGACGATGATATTCAATGGAGGATGGCTTGCAGATTTATCAACGAAGCTGTGTTATGTTTGCAAGAAAATATTTTGAAAACACCGGTTAAATTTTTATAGATTATTACCTAATTTGATCAGAGATAAATTTAATTAAAACTAAACAAATCAATTTTTTTTTAAAAAAAAGAAAAGAAAAATCAAAACCATAATTAATTCAATTTGATGATTACAAAGTTTATTAGGAAAATTTTTTTTAAAGTTATTTACATGCTTTAACTTTTTAATTTAAAATAAAGACAAACATTTTAAGGCTTCCATATTATTGAACAAGAATAAATACTATATAATAAATTGTGTGTAATTGTATTGCATAATTAAGGAGGAATGATATGATAGTCTTTATTGATTATATTATTAGAATATTGACGTTGATGTGGTCTTTATATTTGATAATATGGTTATACAAAAGAAAACAAGTGGTCTTTTTTATTCAATAATATGGTTATACAAAAGAAAACAAGTGGTGAAAAATGAAAATATATATCAATTTATATATGTTTAATCGCCTTGAGATGTATTTATATACATGTTAATTTCATTGAATAAAAAGATAATATGAACATATTTAAACATACAATTACAACAAATTGAATAAGCGAAATATTTAAGAAGTATTTGAATATACAATGAATTACAACATGCAACACATATTATGATATTTAATAAAAAAATTTTTATCCATATCTATAAGTTTGACAAAAATAATTTTTAAATTTATTATTTTAAAAAAATTATTAATTACCTAGGAAAATAAAAATTAAGAATCTATACTTATCTTTAATATTTGCGTATTATAAAAAAAATAGATCGAAGGCGATATTGGTGCTGTGTTTGGTTTAGGATTTCCACCGTTCTTAGGAGGTTATACTTTATTTTTAAATTTAAAATAAAATGTTACGAAACAAAAATGAGGGGGGATGGAGGTGAGAGGGTGGCTAGATAAAAGTAGAAGACGGGTAAGATAGTAGGGAGGACCGATATAATTACAGATAAGAGTTGGGATTAAAACGTTAAATAGGAAATAGCAGTATTTTCCGTTTTACATACTTTTCCCCTTTCTAGGTCCTTTCCATTACGTCGATGCGATCGGTGCCGATACCCTGGTCGACAGAATGAAAGCTTATGCCGACATTTACGGGGAAACTTTCAAGCCTTGCCAATTGCTATTGGATCATGCATCAGACACCTCTAAAACTTTTAGAAAAATATGACGAAAATAATAAAAAAATCAAAATAAAATATTTTTTAAAGGAGTCAGTCACTCAATATTTTTTTGATATTTAACAAGAATTTTTATTTAAAAAAGACAAGATTAGGATATCAAACATAAATTGATTCGACGTAAATAAAAGTGACATTTTATCATTTTCGCGTTAATTCTCTTGACAAATATTTTATGTTTTACGGACACTCCTCAATCATTCAAGGTTTATCATAATTTTAGCAAATTTTTATATCAATTTTAAAATAATTTATGAACTTCGTCGAAAATATTTTGAAACAAACTAATATAAAATGTGATATTTTTAATTTCGCATTTTTTTGTCGCATTTTATATAATAATCGCTTTAAATCTTTTCTTGATTTTTCCTTGTGTAAAATAATAAACATAATTTTTTTTATATATATTTGATATCAAGACTCAGGAAGCCGTATGCTAAGTTAGGCTATAATTGATAAAATGAAATGGTAGGAAGCGGATAAAAAAAATCGTAAGCAAATTTGTTAATTTGAAACATTTTTAAATGAAGGATAAATAGCTTTTAGTTCTATACTTTTTCTTTTTCGTCATGTGACTTCCAAATTTAGCCGGGTAGGCCATTGTCCCTTCTAATCGCCACACGGTCTTGGCATCACCCAGGGTCAAACCTAACCTTTTCATATAATTATCTACATTTTCACCCAACATGTCTTTGGTCGCCCTTCTAGGTCAGTATCTTTGATACTTCGTTCCTTATTTGTTGACTTTAAAATATCATCAGCTCCTGAACCCCACTCTGACGATTAGATTTTTGGGATGTCAAAAATGGTATTATTTTTTTCAGATTCATTTCCAAGAAAAATGTCGAGGCCTTTTTTTTCCAAATGTGACCCTTAAAATTTTGATTATTTTATGAAACATTTTTGTAAGGTCACCTCTAAATGACTTAAATTTTAGAGGTAGTACTCCCGGTCCCGCCATTAAAAACAGCACACGGTATTTCAATTTCACATGCCCTTCAAAAATTTCTAGCTACTTTTATATAACTTGTAACTTGTTGCATCTTCGACACTAATTTTTATACTATTAATTTTAGTTTTCATTGTCAAAAATAAAATAAAATTCGAAGATAATTTTTTTTCAAGGGGAAAAATTTCGGCGGCACTAATACAGGTATATAAATTATAGTGGGAGTTTTGAAAGTAATAAATTAAAAATAAGTACATATCTGATTGAGCCTTTCAAGTCGGCCTAAAACTCGGGTTCCTATCAAAAAAAATTAAAAATAAGTTTGGATGTGCTAGGGCCTTAAAAATAATTCAAAAAATAAATGTAGAAAATATGATATATTTTTATCAAAAAAAATGATATTTAGAATTCCTCTGTGATAAAGGAACAAGGGAATTGGTTATTTTTATATAACTTCATTTAATATCAATAAATTATTTAAGATTTTAGGCATAAAAAAATCTCAAATTAATGGGGATAATGGATCCTCTTAATATGCAATCAGCCCAATATTTCTGCTTCCCGAGGCGATTATCTTTATTTAGTTTCTTCGGATTTAAAACCTTTTAAATTCATTGTTTGTCTCCGGTCTTCTGTTTTTTTTAAAATTATGTTTAAAAAAAATTTAATATAGTTTATATGTTTTTTATACTTTATTTCAATATAGTTTTAAAATAAATAAAAGTTTTATTTTTAGAATAAAGAAATGGGTATTAAGGTTTTTTTTTCCGTAGTAAAACATCCACCAAAAAATGGAATCTTTATAATATCTAGTGCTGTAAAATTTAATTCAAAAAATAAACGCGTTACTTTTTACATTTGAAAAAAAGGAACTCGTTGCTATTACTTTGTGGAAAAAGGAATGCGTTACTCTTTATTCAAGAATACTAAATATTATATATAAATTTCAATTAATTTTTTTCCCAAAAAGTAATATATTATAGTATATATTCTTTTTGTAATAATTTTTAATTTATTTTTTGACAATTGATTTTCAAATATTATATTACATTAACAACAATGCTTAACACACTTTCGCTGTGCTAAACATCTTCAGTTGGTGCAAAGGATTCCCTCACTGAACTTCTGATCAGACTTACATTAAACTTTGTTCCAAACATCTAAACTTCAGAATCATTTTAATTAATCTTCATTTATACTTCATTTGCGCGATCGAATTCACGCAGTATGAAATGAGGAAAGCCAATCTCAAATTCCATCGTAGGCCCTCGATTTTGACGGAATTCTTCCTATATTTATACAGGACATTTCCTCCCCATTAATTTGCGCACAGACTTCAATCTTAATTATGTTAACTAACTTCTGCAATAAAATTTTAGGCGTGGATGTTCCAAGCTTTGTATCTTCCTTACTCTTTTGTGCACGACTCATTGCCTTGCAAAAACCCAACAATTATATCAGAGACCATTCTTCTTGTTGCCGAAATAATTTCTGCAAGAATAGAGCATAAGACATCTCTCATTTTGAATCCATTTTAACTGGGTGTGGGAGTTGCAGGAGGTTGTGAGGCCCCTATTTACTTGACTTGAATTCATTTAGAAAACATTCCCACAAATGTAATCTTTCGACTTCGCCACTATCTTTACTTTGTCTTGAAATTCTTTCTTAAATTCTCCAAACACTCTTTATCAGATTCTTGCACTCTTTCTATCAATATCCATCTACATAACACGTTGATTCTTTTTTTTTACATAATAATTTTTAATACTTCAATATCTATTAAATTTAAAAAAATATATAAAAAAATTACATTATATAAAATTATATTAAATTATAACAACATGTAAATAATCTAAGACAAAACAAATATAAAAACTATATTTATTAAAACATATACTATGGGGGGTGGGGGGCAAAAAAGTTCTCATGAAATTTGAGGAATTTAGCTAGGAACACAGCGATTTAAATTGATTGTAAAATTCTAAAAGGATCCATAATCACCATTAATTTGAATTTTTTTTTACCTAAAATCCTAAAAAAATGATAGCCTATGAGGCCTTGGGATCTATTGGTAAAAATAATTGGGATAAAGTAAAAATCTGAAATATGGTACTTTCTATTTTTTTGACTTTCGGCTGTAATAATCGGGTCAATATTTGGGTTAGAGGAAAATTGGTAGGGACAAGTGAAATCTAAAATAAATATTTTCCTGTAAACCAAGGAATGTTTGTAAGCCCATCTGTCCTTTTCTCATTAGACGTGGATAAGTGGAAGAATTCCAAGAGGTTTCGGTAGTTGGCAAACTAATTTGTTCGAGATTATAGAGTTAATAGTGGGACTGATCCATCTTTTAGAATATAAATAAGTTAGACCATATCAGCCCTTAGAAGTTTTTACCACGCTTATTAGATTTATGGAGAAAGCTAGGTCATAGCCTAGTCTATACCCTGTGGTCATTCTCAGCTCCTCATTGGATAGCAAAAGTTCCTCATAAATTGTTTTTTCTTTTGAATTTTTTTAAATATATCGCGCATTCTTTATGTTCATATGACTACCATTGTCTTCTAATATCCTATTCCTTTAAACGTATACGAAACTGAAATCAAGGCACTTATGAAAGAAATCCTAAAATTTAAGTTCAAAAAAATTGACTTCTCTCCAAGCAAAATTTGACGGACATGATATCAAACTCTTCCTGATTTAGCTTGAACTATTTAATTTCTAGCTGTCTATTAACTAAACCTACCGTTAACGCCCACAATACCAAGGGTGATTTGTCCTACACCGAGAATTAGTTTTATGAAGATCCTGGATCCATTCTGATACCCCTTTACCAATCACTTGCAAACAAAAGGAATGGGATGTCTAGCTAGTTGCCCGCTGCCTCGAAACTCTACTATCATAAATATAATCGAGTTTTATTAAACGACCTTATCTGGGTCTTTTTAAAAACGCCAAATTAAGATTTTAGTCTGGACAATATTATGTAAGCCTCGAGATTTGGCATATAAAGGTCCAAACCTTTCTACCATTAAAAATAAGGTTAAACTAAAAATAAGGTTAAACAAATTTGTTAAATATTTTATTATTAAGTCATGTCTAAAAACATAGTATATATATATAAAAAAAGTTAATTGAAAAATATATAATATCACGTTTTTGTGAATAGTTAAATTATATCAAACACATCAATTTATAATATAAGATTAACTATTCAAATTTAAGATTAATTCTTTAAATTTATATATGATCAATCAACATTCCCCCTCTTCTACAAAGAACGAAGCTTCTTCTCAGCAGTCATCGAGAGCTTGTTGTCCCAGAAGTTTTTTCCCGTTTCGATTGTACTCGGTTTTATCTTGGCTAGCGCATAAGTCTCAAATGTTCTCGTAGGCATGATTCTATCACATAGGTTTGATAAAATCGTTTATTAGAGTTGCGTGAGTTTGTACGTTTTTTGTAGGCTTGATATCCTTATCGTATGTTGTTCACATTTCTCAAAATTGTTATTATCATGTTTCATAATTAATCCAGTCGAATATTGGAATTTGGAATAAATCGGAATATGTAATTTGGAATAGTTGATCAAATCAAATATATGAATAATATGCACGAATAAATTTTGAATTTCGGAAAAATATGTAATAAGGAATGATAATTTAAGGAATAAAATTTTAATCCAGAATAAGGAATGATAAATCATAACGATTATTATATTATTTTTTAGGTGTTAAGTTAATCATAGCGTTTTATACTTTTAGCGTTTTATGCGTTTTATATTTTTAGCGTTTTATATTTTTTGCGTTTTACATTTTTTAGCGTTTCCATATTTAATTAGTAGCGTTTTAATATTTAATTCATTTTTATTTATTTTCAATCTCCGAGGTTAAAATATGCAAATATTATGCACATTTCCCTCTCTTAAAAAAAATTTAAATTTCACACAATATTTTTCTAAAATAATGATGTTTAATTTTTACATAACCTTTTGTCTTCAAAAGCTTTATTTCAAAAACATTTTTATCATATTAAGTATTACTTATAAGGGTTATTTAAATCAATCCCTTTTAATTCATATGTTTTAATTTAAGAATTCATTTTTAGGATTAGTTGTTAATTTACAACAATTGGTCATCATTCAAGAAATCAAAAAATAATATTTCACTAAGAATTTAAGTAAATAATTTTTTAAAGGTTTTTTGTGTGTTCAAATATATCCATTATGATTT